GAGGATGTATGCGAGCCGCTCGTTCTTGGATAAGCCCCTTGGCATGGCTGTCATTGGCAAGAGCCACCTCAGGGCCAGCAGCTGGCCTCCACTGTTAGCGCGGAGCCCCGCTCGTCCTCCCCTCAGGAGGTCCGTGATGCCGAGAGCAGCTTCCGGTCCAGCCAGGCCCGTTCCCTCCCCGTGCCAGCCTCTTTCTGTCCTCAGGTAGGAGAGACATGTGCCTACAGCTTTCTTCGCATCTTCCTGCAGCAAGCGTTCAGGGAAGGTAGGTTGAATCAACGGTCAGTTCTCCCCAGCACCGCCAGGCTGCGGTGGGGAGTGTGTGTCAGCACGGAGGAGTGGGAGGCGGCCAGGGTCGTGTGCCGCTCTGAGCCCTCGCTTCAGGGGATCGTCTCTAGTCTGGTGACAACCCTGTGGAGTCAGGCATTTCTTTATTGTGGTAAAATACACATAACATAAAAATCCACCATTTTAACTTAACTGTGGTAAAGTGTACAATTCATTGACATCTAGTGTATTTATAATGTGTAATCATCACCACTGTCTAGCTCCAGAACTTTCTCATCACTCCAAACGGAAATTCCATACCCATTAAGCAGTCGCTCTTCATTCCCTACTCCCCCACCCAGCCCCTAGCAACCATTAATCTGTTTTCTGTCTCTGAGGATTTGCCTGTTCTGGATAGTTCATCAAAATTAAATCATATAATATTTGTCTTTTTGTGTCTGGTTTCCTTCACGTAGCATAATGTTTTCAAGGTTCATCCATGTTGAAGTATTTCATTCTTTTTATGGTTGAGTAATATTCTGCTGTGGCTGGACCACATTTTGTTTATCCATGCATCTGTTGATGGACCTCTGCACTGTCTCTACCTTTTGGCTGTTTTCAGCAACACTGCTACAAACATTTCTGTACAGATTTTTGTTCGAATACCTATTGTCAGTTCTCTGGGGTTTATGTACCTAGGAGTGGGATTGCTGGGTCATGTGGTTAACTCCATGTTTAATCTTTTGAGGAGCTGCCAAACTATTTTCCACAGCAGCTGTTCCATTTTACATTTGAAGTGAGAGACGTCTCCCCCCACTTCACACTCAGGGAAGCGGGCTCACAGCTTGCAGCTTGCCCAACATTACAGCGATGGCGAGTGGCCGAGCTAGGCTTCTGTTCCGGGCGTGGGGCTCACCTGGGCTAGTGGGCTGTGGAAACAGGAAGCCCAGAATCTGCATTCGATCTCCAAACCTCTGCGCGGAGGAAGGCGCTGGGAGCGTAGTTGTCACTGGCCCCAGCCCTGCCCCCTGTCCTGGGTTGTCCTCACCTCATGGCTGGCATAGCATCCCCCCCGGGGTGGCTGAGTTGTAGCAGGTCGGTGTCATGGTGGAGACCTGAAGGGCAGGGAGGGGTGCAGAGCCTCTGCTCCTTCCTGAGCCAGCCATGGGAGGTTGCAGAAGCGCACTGACACCTGAGGACGTGCAGCGAGGCCATGGCACCTGTCAGCTCCGGGGCTGCTCTGTGCACTTGCACTCCAGTGGCGGGGAATGGTTGTGAAATTGCCCCGTGTACCATAGGATCAAGAATTTCCGGGAGGCTGACCAAAGACTGGACAAGGGGCTTGGATGGTTCTTTGCCATTCAAGGACTAGGAAGTCACCTCCTGTGGCACTCGTCCATCTCGGCTGGCCTGGGCTCCTGGGTGCCAAGGCAGGGGCTTTGCTCACTCTGGGTCTGGGTGGAATCATGACCTCATGGGTAAGTCTTAAGACTCCTTTCTAATGGGCCTTTCCAGTTTCATCTGAGAACTTGGGCTTCAGGGCTGTCTGTCCGAAGAGTCCTGCTCGCTGGGAAGGACTGTGGCCTTGACCGGCTGAGAGTCAGGTCGCCCATTCTATAGCTGGGTGTCTGTGGGATGGTTGCTGACACTGCCTCTTGAGAGAGGGCCTGATGACTTGTTAGACTTGGGCCCTGTGAGCAGGTGGACAGTGCTGGGAAGAGCCGATGGTCTCTGAGACTGACCGGCGTCTGTGAATAGGGTGCAACACTCAGCAGGGGCTCCCTAAGGGCCATCTTCCTTCCAGCTTCTTCCATCCCAAAGAAAGGATGTGGTCTCTCCTTGGACCTGACATGAGTGGCCTAGCCAAATTTCCAGCACAGCTGCCACCAGGCCTCTCTGTAAAGGAGCTCTTCGGCACCACTGTCCTTGCTTCTGGGGAGAGCAGGTGCCCTGTGTGATCCTGTCGTAAGCACCCCAAGCTCAGAAAGCCCCTCACTGAATTAGACCTGGTAGCCTGCCTACTGGTTCTGCTGGTAACCTTGAGTGCGACGTTGTCCAAAGTGGTTGCAAGGACCAGGGAGAAAAGACACTGAGGAGGAGCCAGAGTTGTTCCTGGTGGCTCCAGGGGGGCAGCAGGTCCCTTCCTCACTGAGCCGCAGCCTAGGTCGCTGTGAACCAGGCCATGGTGCCGGCACCCTGAGGCTCTTGTCAGGTGAATGAGTCATACCTGTAACTGCTTATTCAGAGCCCTGTCCAGCCAGGAAGTGATTAATACGATCCTTGCCGCTGGGGCTTGTACTGAAAGGTAGATTGTTCATGTCCTACCTGGCGTGCGTTGAGCCCCTGCTCCTGACAGTGTCAGACATGCTGGCTGAGTGCTGTCCCCAGTGGTTTTCATCACTCCTTAAGTCAGTTGTGTTGAGTATGACCAAAAATAATACAAAATGCATACATATGCAGTAACAGTATTTTTCCATAGTTTTCATTTCACATGTGTGCATGTGCACGTATGCTTGCATTCATCCTGTATCAATGCGTGGTTCTCTGTCGTGGTCAAATGAGTTTGAGAAATACGTGAACTGTTGCAGGAACTCAGTGGATGGGGTTGGGCTTCACCTTGAAAGTTTCTTTCTGACCTTGAAAGCCTGTTCCCCTAAAGCGCACCTCCTTGGGCCGTGGGTGGGCAGGGAGGTCCGCAGTGGGGTGAAGCCGCCGTAGCGGGCTTTTCCAAAGCGGGCCTGTGACAGATGCATCGCCTGCGGCGGGCAGAGGCTCCCGTGGCCTCTTGTGAGCCAGTGGGCAGGTGATAAGCAGGAAGGCTGGGGTCTCAGCAGGGCGTGATCGTATCCCTGGAAAGAGGCCCATGTTGTGTGCCTGCACGCTTGGTCACCTCCTGCCTAAACTATCGCTAGCCGTTTAGCAGCTCTGCCATCTAGGCTGGTGCAGTGTGGAGGCCAGAACAGGTCCAGAGTTCCCTGGATGGCTGGAGGGCTGTCAGCGACATTGCTAGGGGAGGACTGGACCCATAATTTGGCAACATAGCAGAGTTGGATGGCCTACAAACAGCCATCTCTTCAGAAAATGAAACGGGCAAAAGTAGGTAAACGTTCAGCCTTGTAGAAGGCCTAGATTCCTACCCTCTGGAGATGCAGAATTAGGGCAGGGACATTGCTGGACAGAGCTGGCTTCCCTGCTGACAGCATCAGGGGTGCGGGGTTCCTCACGGGATTTGGCTGCAGCCTAGATACTTGCCCTTGCTCTCCCAGCACAGGGCCCAGGCGCAGCTGGGCAGCAAGTTGCTAAGGAGCAGATCTCTTTCAGGTGCTGAGAGTGTAGGCGGCTGTGGCTTGATCCTGGGCAGCCGGGGAGGGCCCGACCCAGGCTTGGGGGTTGTCTGGACAGCCCTGGTTGAAGTCTGTCCAGCTCTGTGCATCTGGGAGACGTAGCTGAGGGCACAATAGCAAGGGGGCAGATGGGGTGACAGTATGGCCAGGCTCGGAAGGTTGTGGGACCAGGCCTAGCATTCAGTAAGCGCACAGGACGGGGAGAGGTGTCCCAGGGGCGCTGCTGGTGGACGCAGAAGGCGCTGTTTTCACGGCAGCTGTCCGTGTGCGCCTGGACCCGTGTTCCTCCTCTTGCGACTGCTGCTCGCCCTCTGCTCCCTCTCCGGCACATGTAGCAGGACTAGACAGTGCCCACCCCCGGCCCCTCACAGTCGAGGGGGCATGGGCAAGGTGGTGCTGGTGAGGTCCTGACACGTAGGGAGCGAGTAACGTCACTCCCTTCAGTTCCAGCGTGTGACGGCTTTGCCTTTTACTGACACAGAAGTAGGTAGAGCCCTCCTTTTGCACACAGACCAAGGCCCAGAGAAGCCTTGCCGTGCAGTTGGTGACAGAGTCCAGTGACCACGTCCAGCGTCAGGGCTGGCCGGAAAATCTTGTCTGTGGCTGGTAGCCATGTGCCCCATGAAAACAGTGACTGTGCAGGAAGCTCCTCTCAGTTAACCCTTCACCTCAGTAGGAATTTCTTAAAGGCTTCTTTTCTTGTTTCTGGTTTTCTATCCCTAATTTGAACGTCTAACCGCTTTGCTTGTCAGAAAAGGAAAAGAAGCTATTATGTGTTGTCCCGACGCTGGCCGGGCAGCCTTGCTGCACTGCTCACAGACAGCCGGACGGTGGCGGTCGTTCCCTCGCCTCTGGCCGGCTGGGTCTCCCAGCCCCACAGCCTGCCTTCAAGGGATGTGGCTTTTCTCTGGCCCCGATATTGCCTCTAAAAATAACCTTGCTATTTTGAAATCACCTTCTCTAAAGCTTTTTTCACCGCTTTCTTGGGTGAGTGACCCCTCTAAGACCAGACTCTTAGCTGCCTCTGTCCGCTCAGCTGTCCTCGGGGAGCAGCCCCCTTCCGGCCTCTCCCCCGTCCCCAGGGCCAGCTGGGACACTGCTTTCCAGCGAGGAAGGAATGTCCAGCTGGGTCTCCTCTGAGAAAAGCGGCCTGTCACCCTCCTTCAGGGGTGGGGGGCAGGGAGGAAGTAGAGCTTCAAGGGCCAGAGTGAGGCAGAGCACACCCTGTGCCTTTCTTGTAATTGGGGGTCCACGCAGCCGTGAGAGGTTCAGGTGCCTGTCATGAGTGCACGCGTCAGGAAGGGCGTGGGGATGCGGGCACGGTCCAGGCTGCCACGCCGCGCCTCTGCAGAGCTGGGCTCTGAGTGCCCCTGCCTCACCCTCTTGCAGCCTACAACCCTCCCTCAGGGCACCATCAACATGAACCAGTGCACAGACGTGGTGGACGGAGAGGGCCGGACAGGCCAGAAATTCTCCCTGTGCATTCTGACGCCCGAGAAGGAGCATTTCATCCGGGCAGAGACCAAGGAGATCATCAGCGGGTGAGTCTGCTCTGTGCGTGGCGGGTGGCGGCGCCCCCTGCCCACCGGTTCGGGTCCCTTCAGCACAGCTGAGCAGCCTTGCCATCACTTTCTTCCCCAAGTGCTCCTGCTCTTGAGTCCCCTCTCTCCACTCCGGTGGCCACTGTGCCCAGTCACCACACCAGAAACGGGCCCTACCTCCGTTACCTTTGCTTCGTCCGTGTGCAGGCACTCGCCAGGGCTCCCCCCCCGCACCCCCCCCCCCCCGCCCAGGTCCTGCCTGCTCGGAGGCTCTCGTCCGCTGGCACGGCCCTGGTTCTGGGGCTGCCACGCCTTCTGTAAGCCTCTCACTCGTTTCCCTCCTCTGTTCTAACCGCACCCTAACCTTCTGTCACTCGACCACAAGGGGCTCAGTCTCCAGAGCACTGTAACCTTGTGTCTCTCCTACCTAAACCCCCACCACCTGGGGGCCAAGTCCAAGTTCCTTGGCTGCCCTGGTTCCCCTTCCAGCCCTCCAGCCTCACTCCCACCACCCTGAGCACTGAGGTGCTTGTCACTGTACATTCCATCTCCGTGCCCCCAATCTGAAATAATCCTTTGATGTCCAGGCTGTTAAAAGTTGCCTGCGTGTCCACTGTTCCAGGACACTCTCCCCTGCGAGGTGCTTGGCTCCATCTGCTGGCCCTTATAAAGGACAGGTGATGCACGTAGCATCCTCCTCAGCCAGGGGCAAGCCCTTGACAGGGGCGGCCACGTCACATTCATCAGTGGTGCCCAGGGCTCACTCCCAGGAGTCATTCCGGGGCTGCTGCGCATCCTGGCACTTTCGTCCAGGTGGGAAGAGCAGATAGTTTCTGGGTCCTCCCACTGCCCTGAGCCCACCCCAAGCAGAGGCTTAGGGGGGAGCCTAGCAGGTGGAAGGGGGGCCCAGGTTTTCAGGTAGCCGACAGGCCGCAGGGGCTGAGCTCGTGCTCCTGAGCCCTTGCAGCATCTGCCTTCTGGGATCCCCTGCTCCTGCGGTATCTGCTGCTGGCTCTGCACGGCCCAGCACATGTGGTGCATGCATAGTGAGCGTATGTGGCCGGAGCACAGGCCGTGCGTCTTGGAGAATCTCACTCATCCTTTAAGGCGGAGAGGGAGGCAGATGAGGCTGAGAAGGCTTTTGGAGGAGCAAATGGGTTGGGCCGAGGGTAGCTCCTCAGCTCAGACCCTGTGATTCCCCACGCCCAAACCCACTTTCCCTGCCACCAGCTGTCAGCTCAACAACTGGGACTCCCTCCTGAGGCTGTCCCAGAAGGCCATTGGCCAGGCCTCCTTCCACCCCAAATTAAAGAAGTGCCTCGGAGTGCTAACAATACCAGCGCTCCCCCTTGTCCGAGCCTGAGGTGCCAGTGGTCACACTAGCTTCCTTCCAGGGTGCTGCCAGGTCAGACTCTGCCTCACATTACAGCTCAGCCCCCACAACTCAGCCCTGGTCACAGGCTGGCTGTAGACCTAACACGGAACCTAGGGTTCTGGGAAGAAGCGGACCAAGGTTTCCTGCGGTACCATCCCCTCTGGAGAGAGCCTGGGCCGTTCTGCCCCACCAGGCCCTCTCCCGACCTCCCCTCCTCCTAGCCCCCTCCCTCCAACCCAGGTGTTACAAGCCTCCAATAGGCAAGCCATGGTCTCCTGAAGGCCCTGGTTCCAGAGACGGCGACTGGAGCTCGGGCTGGGAGACGTGCAGGGCTGCGGTTACAGGGCAGCAGATCCAGATCAAAGCCCTCTGCTCTCCCTGCGCCCCCTGCTGCCTTTCCTCATGCTGGTCTGGAGGGGACCGTTCAGCATGTGGGTCCCTGGGCAGTGTCCGTGGGCAGCTCTGACAGGCTTCAACACAGCCGAGGTAAAAGGAAACGTATTAAAAATTACGTATTCTTACCTGTTTAAACTTCAACCACCTTCAAAGTACTCCTCCATGTGATGCAATACACCTAATCAAGACATTTTTTTGCTGCTCAAAACAGTTTTTGAACTCTTCGATTCTGATGCCTTTTAGTGCTTCTGCCGTTTTTTTGTTTCACCTCTTTCACATTGGCGAAACATTTTCTTTCGAGGCCTTTTTTTTCACCAGAGGAAACAACGAAAGTGTCTTGGGGAGAAATTGGGCGAATAGGGAGGGTGGGGTACGGGGGTCATGCCGTTTCTGGTCTTCTGCTGAACACTCAGCGCAGTGTGGGGCCGGTGCACTAGTACATCACCCATCACGAAATGGGCAAATGAGTTGAAAGCATCTTCAAAAAAAATTCACTGAAGCTGACTGTAGCCTCTCACACCAACGCCAGCTGGTGCACTGATACAGATGGGTTCCTAGAACACTCACCCAGCAGGGGAGGTCTTTCCTACAAGGGGCACACCCTCCGGAAGATAATTCCGGGAGTTTTGGGGTCCCACCTCATATAGGTAGGGCCCAGAGGTAAGTGAATGGGTCTGGGAGGAAGTCAGCGGCTTGCTCCACCCCGAAGTGGTCTGCCGTGGGGAACTTTGGTTGCAAGTCTCCTTGTTTCCTGCTTCGAGAGCCCTAAATGGCTCCCAGTCGCAGCCCAACTGTGTGCTAACCAAATCCATTCTGGGGGGCAGTTACAGAGTTGAGTCTAAACCCTGCAGATAGGGACAGGGATGGCAACAGTGACATGCCCTGCACTCTGAGGCCCGTGGTCGGCCCTGCCTCTCCACCTGGGTGGAACTCACGTCGTCTCTGGACCAGTGGCAGGACCCGGCCACCTGCACGGTGGTCACTGCAGGGTCCACGTCCGAGCCCAGGCTCGGCACAGGCTGTGCCTGTCCTGGCAGTGGCAGGCTTTAACCTGGGCTGCTGTGCGGCCCTTTTTGGGTGCTCAGATGCCTGGCCACTGGGTGAAGCATGGACCCACTCAGCAAGCGCTTGGACCGCTCAGCAAGGCAGGGTCCTAATCCCTAAGAGCAGAGGTCTGACCTGCTGTCTTCTCTTTTCTCCCCAGATGGTTAGAGATGCTCATGATCTATCCCAGGACCAACAAGCAGAACCAGAAGAAGAAGCGGAAAGTGGAGCCTCCCACTCCACAGGTAGGCGTGGGTTTGCCAGGTGGCTTCCTCATGGAGAAGCTGGGGAGAAGTGAGAGCGCTCCGGGAGGTTAGAATCAGTCTGCGTGGCTCAGCCGAAAACGGGGTGGAGGAGGGGTGAGGTCGGGGCCCGTGGCGGCCGTCGGCCAGCCTGCCCCGCCTTTTCCTCCGGACAGTTTGTGGGCTGCGATCTGCATGCTTCTCTCTGAGCCACAGGGAGGATCCCACTGCAGGGACAGGCCAGATGTTCTCCTCGTGGGCTCGGGGACTTCCCTCGGAAGTCCCTGCCAGGAGGCAGGTGCCGAGGAGCAGTCGCACAGCATGTGCCCCTTGCCCCCTCTGTCCTGCCTGCTGCTGGGGCGCGGAGAGAGCGCTAGGAGGGCCCGCGTGCCACACACAGGCCCCTCGTGTGCCGCCACTCAGCTCCACATTCCACACACGGACGGCCCTGGAAGCAGCAGGCTGGGAAGGGGGCTGAGCCGGGAGGTCCTAGAGTGTCCTGGCCAAGTGAGGGGCTCTCGGGGGACCCTACTCCTGTTCTGGCTTTGACCATAAATGGAAAGAACTGGCACCAGCCTTGACTGTTGTGCCCCTGCCCCGACTTTCATGTGACTAGAGTGATAGAGGTGGAGGGGCTGGCCCCACCAGTTCAGGTCATTCCCCAGAGGCCACTTTCTTCTTCCTTCCTTTTCGTGCCATCTTTGGGGGTTCAGGGCACCAGAGGAGGTTCTGCCAGTGACCTCACACTCCTAGGCCCTGATGTAGCAGATTAACCTCTTGGAGCTTGAATAAACTGATTTTTACAAAACAGGCCTGTAGAAATCTGGTGAGACTCTTACTGTGAGAATGAAAGGAAGCACTGGGCCCATTTTGGGTACTCAGTAAATGCTATTCTTTTCCTCTCTGCTCCCAACTCGATGTTGCCAACTGCTCTTGCCTTGCCTCATCAAGCCTTACAGTGGCCCTGAGCGTGGGCAGGATGGAGATTGGGGTCCCTTGGCATCTTGCAAGGCCCAGAGCCTGGCAGAGAGCCAGCCGTGGCAGAACCATGGCTGCTCTCTGCTTCACCGAGTGACAGAGGTCAGCCTGGGCAGAACCAGGAGGTGCGTGCTGGTCCGGGTCCCTTTCTCCACCATAACCTCCTACATACACCCTGCAGGTTCCCCTGAACATGCCTGCCCTGGCTTCCTGCTGACAGAGCACAGCCCTGGGCCTGCCCTCCATTACCCTCCTCAGAGAGCCCCAGGCCAGTATGCCCTGCAAGGTGGTGCCCCTGGCAAGGAGTTGGCTGGATGCAGTCAGAGTAGTTCCTGGAGGCTGAAAGCGGGGCTTCCTGCTGGGGAGCAGCAGAGACACACACAAATTCCTCAAAGCTGTCTGGTTTCAGAGAATAAAATCCCAAGCAGAATAAGTGCTTACGGTTCCGTGGCATTTCCAAAGCAATGCCTTGGAACTGTGCTGGAGCAGAGCTCCTGTCTCCAAGCAGGGCACCTACGTGTGCAGAAGACACACTAAGCCAGCCTAGGGAATTTGGCTGTGTTCCTGCTTCCTAGCTGTCCCCTCCCCCCAAATGCTGCCAAGTTTCACCTTTTCAGGTAGTAGCAAGAGCCACGTGATCAAAGAGTGGGGAAGTTTCCCCTTCCCTGAGCATCTGGTAGAGCCTGGGGCTCCTGAGGTCCCAGCCTCCTCCACTAAGCCCCTCCTGGGGTTTCTTCTGCCCCTTGCTTTCCAGAGCACCCTATTTGAGGCCACTAGTTTCTGGAGGCTGAACTTTTATCAGGGGCCATGCACCTGTAAATGCAGTCCCATGGGGTGACGTGGGCCTCTCCAGAGGAGAGTTGAGGGATCTCTGGGCAGGTTTACCCTCCACAACCTGGAGCTGAAGGTGTTCTGGTGTCCCACATGGGAGTGTGGGAGAAGCCTAAAGACTTAGGGACCCCTCTGGAAACCCAGGACCACACACCTGGCCTCTTTTTCCATGGCCTGGGGTAGTTTCAGATCAAACCACTGGGGAGTTGGAAGCACTGCTCTGCTGCTGGGCCAGGGCCGTGTCCCTCATGGGCACAGCTGCCTGCTCCTTACTCTTTGGCCCTTTTTGGCAACCTCTGCCTGCCCTGGCCTAGCATCCCCTCCACAGAAGGGATCAATTCACCAAGAGTGGGCTTTACATCGCCCACGCCCAGCTCTGCAGGAGGAATCCAGCCCCACCCTGAACCCATTAGAGTTGGCCCAGCCTCTGGCACCTGGCTTTTGAGCAGAGGGCCCCGGGTTGTTGAGGGGACACGGCACAGAGTGAGGGCAGTATGCTGACTGGAGGGACAGGCAGCCCTGGGGCGGGTCCCTTAGGTCGGCAGTTCTGTTGGATCCCTCAGGAAACTTAGAAACCATCGCTGTTTCTAAAACAAAGAAGTGGACTTCTTTGGAGGGGTTCGAAGCTCCAGGGGATCTCTAGCGTGGGAGTTGGGTCTGTGGGTGGTGTTGATGCAGTGGGAAGTTGTGTGTGTCCTGAGTCTGTGGGAAGACCCATTCTGGTTTTATCTGTCCTGCAAAGTCTGGGATCCTTGCAAAGCTAAGGAAAGCTTTGACCCGGCAAAGAGCCCATCTTCTCAACATTAGGACACATGGTACCTGGGTTTCTTGATGGGTCTTCTTTGGATGCCCATCAAAGGCAAACCTCCACACCCCATCCTGGGCCTTTCTCCTGTTCCTACAGTGCCCGGGACTGGGAAATGCCCAAGGTCTCACTTCTTCCCTTACTGGCTGGGCGGGCTTTCTCTCTCTCCCCGGTGAAGTGGATTGGTGTGGACTGGACGCAGGCAGTTGGCGAGCCAGAGCCCGGCATAGCTGACGCCAGCAGCTGTTAATAGATAACCTGCTGGGGGTTATACTGGGCCTGCATGCGCACACATGCAGCCTGTAACCCTCAAAAGAGCCCCCGCTCCCAGAGGGGTTAAAGTAGGTTTCTAAGAATGAAAGACTTGGGCACCAGGATGGGAGTAAGAGGGTGGGCATACATTATCCGTCTTGTTTTGGGGAAGACAGTTAAGATGTACGTCACTTTTGAGAGGCCCCAAAGACATCTAACCCCCTCGGCAGCAGGCACCCAGGACCTTGAGCCAGGCCAGGGGCTTGTGCCAGGGTGTGAGCTGGCGCTGCAGGGGAGCTGGTGGTCGCGCCCCCGGCCCCGTGCCTGGGTTCTAGTTTGCAGTGTTGACTGAAGATTCTCTGTGCACTCTGGAATTGGATTTCCCAGCTCTAAGTGCCTCCTGCACAGACACGTCTCCTGTGGAGCAGCACCACATCCGGCCTGGAGAGATGGGATTGAACCTGTTCCCACCCGGGCTGCAGAGCCCCGTTGAGCTTGTTTGGGTGGGAGGGGATGAGAGCAGATTTGAGTGATATGTTTGGTTTGCATCTGATGCCTCTTCCCTTTACACAGTATCCCAGGTGTTTCATTTTAGCGCCCTAGGACCAAAAATAAGAGGGTAGGTGAGGCCAAAGGCCGGCCCCGATGTGGATGCCGTGTGAACACACGCTTTTCGTTCACCCCGTTGGACCCATCTCATGGGGTGTGCTTTCTTCTCCCTGTCTCAGCTGCCTTTACCCATATCCTAAGCGCCTGGAAGTCTAGGAACAGCAGGCTCTGAACTGGCCACTTGTGGTCTTCGCTCTAATGCCTGGTCTGCTGCTCTGGGCTCTGTCTGGTTTGTGGGCAGGGAGGACTTGCATGCATTTGGTGTTGAGGCTACGCGCAGAAGTTCGAAGCCTTTGCTGCACATGTTTGCCAAGCCTGGCCTGAGGCCCATGGGACCAAGCACTTTGGGGCTGCCTGCTGGGGCTGAAGAGGAGAAAGGGCCACGCTGCCATCCAGAAGGAGCTTCCACCCTGACTAAGACATCTCTGTTTTCTGAGCCTTCCCTCCTGGGAGCTCTGGACCCCAGCATTATGTAGTTGATCTTGATGTCCCCCAATAGCCGCACACCCAGGCTCCCGAGACCTGTGCACCAGCTCGGGCTATGTGCTCTTCTGCCTAAACAGACACCGCTTTCTCCCCCAGGAGCCCGGGCCAGCCAAGATGGCTGTTACCACCACCAGCAGCAGCAGCATTCCCAGTGCCGAGAAAGTCCCCACCACCAAGTCTACCCTCTGGCAGGAGGAAATGAGGGCCAAGGACCAGCCAGATGGGAGCAGCCTGAGTCCAGCTCAGAGTCCCAGCCAGAGCCAGCCTCCTGCAAGCAGCGCCCTGAGGGAACCTGGGCTGGAGGGCAAAGATGGTAAGCCGTGGCCAGGTTGGCCCCAGGGGCCATTCGGGGACTGCACAGCTCCCCTGTGGGCTCCCGCCTCAGGCTCTCTCACCGGCTGTATCCATCAGCCCTGGGCAGGGCCTGGCCTGGTCGGGGGCTGGGATCCCTGGGCTCCAGCCTTGACTTTGCCCCTCTAGCTCTTGAGTGCCTCCGTGAAGGAAGGCAGCCCCTGCTCCGTTAGCCCAGGCAGGCGCGGTGAGAGTCAGAATGCTCTGTAACGAGGTCCGTATGAGAGGAGGCCCCTGATTCCTGTCAGCTGTGGCTGCTGTGTCTTCATGGGCAAGCAAACCCCAGGAGAGCCCACTGTGTCCTGAGAGCAGCAGCAGCTGGGGTTGTCTCCTCCCTCCCTCTGCCGCCCCATTCTGCCAGGCCCTGGGTGAGGTAGGGGAAGAGGGTGCTGGGGAGGGAACAGGTGGCACTGCTGTGCTTCACCAAGCACTTGGGAGCTGCCTGAGCAGAAGCAGGCAGCCACCTCTGCCTCTCTCCCTTGTCCAAGCCATCGAGGGCTCTGCAATACACAGGTGGCTTTTCCTGTTCATACGTTGTCCACATCATTAAAGACAAGTGGACAATTGGGACTGGCCCAGCTCATTCAGGACAAAAGGTGTTTTGCGCTTGCTCTGGCCATAGGTGGCCTCAGTCCTCATTTGGTAGCACACACCCATCTGTGTCTACAATTCATTCATGCCTCTGGTTTCTGTAAATGTCCTCCACCCCTTCCCTCCCCAAAATTTACTAGAAGTTAGTTCCTCCTTGATATTTGGTAAGAAGTAGTTGTTGGTAGGACATCTTTTTGTGAGGAGCAGGGAGCTTGCACTTCCACTCAAGCCCACAGACTGGGAGTGTAGGGCCTCCCTGGCAGTCCGGCCGGGAGGCAGCCAAGCTGGGGGAGAAGCGGACAGGCACGGCGGGAAGGGGATGCACTCCCATCCCCTGCCTGCCTTGGGGCGACCACAGTGGCCTTGGGGGATGAGGGTAGAAATAAGGCCCCTGTTTGGATCTGTGTGGGCTTTTGAAAACATCCTCAGACACCCAAGATGGCAGCAGGCTGAGTGTGTCTCCTGCCCCCTTCCCACCCCCCCAGAGGAGAGCACCATGAGCAGTGACCGCATGGACTGTGGCCGCAAAGTCCGGGTGGAGAGTGGCTACTTCTCCCTGGAGAAGACCAAGCAGGACTTGAAGGCCGAGGAGCAGCAGCTGCCCCAGCCGGTCTCCCCTCCTAGCCCCAGCACCCCCAACAACAGGTATGGTGGCCCCGGACCGCCCTCCCAGGAGCTTGGTCATCCCCTTCCTCCCCCAGGTCCTCGACCCCCCTGTCGAATGGTCTGCAGCAGCTACCTCAGCTCTCTGGATGTGGCCAGCCGGCCCCCTGCTCACATGGACTCCGGCAGCACTGGGGGGCGGGGAGCAGAGAGACTGGGGTGCACCTTTGCCTTTAAAGCCAGCAGGCAGTATGCCACCCTGGCCGACGTCCCTAAGGCCATCAGGATCAGCCACCGAGAAGCCTTCCAGGTGGAGAGAAGGCGGCTGGAGCGTAGCACTCGGGCCCGGAGCCCTGGCAGGGAAGAGGTGGCCCGTCTGTTTGGCAACGAGCGGAGGTAAGGAGGGGATTCAAGGGCCGAATGCATGTGCACACGTGCGCACACACAGGCCCGCAGACTCCCCCCCACCCTTAAACACTGTCTCCCCCACGCGCTCCCCATTTCCTCCTGTACCTGCACTCAGACACAGTCACACACTCATGGATCTGGTTACGTGCCCTTCCTCTCACACCCTTCTTACACATTCCTTCTCCCTTCCTCTTCCCCTTCCACGTACACACACACGTTTCCTAAGCCTTCCTTGGGGAGCCCACCTGTTCTCCCTTTCTGTTCAGAGTATGTGGGGGAACTTTCCCTCCTGACCCTAGACTCTGGTCCCAGAATTCAGCTCCTGGTGGTCAGAACGCAGGATCTCTGAGTACCCAGAGGCTTAGGCCAGGGCAACTGCTTCCTGTGAGTGCTTCTGAGCACTGGGACCTTCAGAGCCTCTGGGCAGGTTGTCAGCCACCTGGCCCTTGTGGGGCTGGATCTGTTTCTTCTTGGCCCAGTTCTGTTCTTTGAGGAGGCAATGGAGCCAGGACGACCCCAGAGATGCAGGTGGTAGCAGGAGCTCTCATTGCCATTACCAGTGCCAGGCGCAGGTGAAGAGTGTGGCAGGAGATGCAGAGAAGGAGGCCATGCCCAGGGAGGTGGGGCGGCAGCCTAGTTCTCCCCTTGAGCACGTGCTCCCTCAGGAAGGCACGGAGCAGCCAGGGAGGCCACTGGGTCCCTGGCAGCATCACTCCCTATCCAGGCTTGGCCAAGATGTGAAAGTGGGGAGACTCGGCAGAGCCAGTTTCTTGGGGAGAGAAGGGGCTTGGATGGTGGGACAAGGACAAGGGCCAGGGACAGAGGTATGGAACTTGGCTCTCTGGTCTGAGGAGGACTCTGTCTGCCCTTCCCTTGTCCCACTGGCCCTGTGCTTCCCAGACAGTGTGGTTCCATCCCTGAGGCCTCCCAGCCAACATCTGGACTGGAGTGCCCGAGTGCCCCTCCCGCAAGAGCTTCTACCCTGAATCTGTAATGGAGCCGTTGTCTCTCTTCATTTGCCTGGCAGTGAGGTTCTCACCCAGATAATCGGTAGGCTTCTGGAAGCTCATGGCCCCTCAAAGCCACTGGAAAATTTTTATGTACAATTTTTTCGGGGGGAGGGGGGCAAAAATCCATAGTTTTCATTAGGTTCCCAAAGAAGTTTACTTTCAAAAACGGTTCAGGCCTAAATTCCAGAAGTGTGCACAGAGTGTCCTCCCGCTTCCCAGAAGCCCAAGTAAAGCTCAGAGTTGAGGCATGCTAGGGGACAGGCCAGGGTAGCATTGGGCTCCCCTCGGGGGTCCGACCAGGAATAGGGCGCCTTTCTCTTGTGCTCTCTTCTTAACACCTGCCTGCTCTCCCACATGTCCCAGGTAGAAAGGACCTGTGGACCTGTGGGCTAACTTCCAGGATAAAGACAAGGCGCCCAGAGTCATTGGTCTTAAAAAAGGAAGAAAACAGAATGTTCCTAATTCTGAGAGACAGGGAGAGGGAAGCTGTTGCCTGGGAGGTACCCCACCAAGCAGTTGGGTGACTTCCCATTTTATTAGCTACCCCATGAGGCACCTATCTCAGCACCCTCAGTGTGTAGATACAGAGACAGGGGCTCAGAAGCAGGGCGGCTCCTGATGGGAACAGCCTGGAGCAGTGGCGCTGGGATACACATCCACCTGGACCCTTAACTGGAAACGCCCTGCTCCCATGAAATGACTAGGCCGGGGCTGTCCTTTCAGAGATGAAGGAAATGTATAAGAAAAAGAGCTTGCCAGAGATTTAGGAGGCCAGCGACCAGGTTGGAGAGGCTTTGTGAGGGCCTGCGGGCAGGCTGTGTGTTGGAACACTCCTGTGTGGGCAGCTGTGCCCTGGTGTAGTGGCAGACCAGAGAATTAACATTCAGCACGGCTGCTCGGCTTTGGACTCACTCTCGTTTCATGGCCTGGGGTTGACAGCATCTCTGGGGCTTTGCTTTCTGCACGCTCTTTGCCACCATGGGTTTCTGTATGGTGTTGGCCCCCTGGGACCCAACTGGCTCTGCTTCCTAACACTGTAACGTCACTTTCTTGCTGACCTTGATCACGTCTGGCTGGCTGCTGTCACTCCCCGAGGTCTGCTCTCGGGTCCCACGTAGCTGACCTGTCCTTGATTGGATTCCTGTCCCCTGACTGAGGAGAGCAGAACCCCGTGCTAGCAGGTTGTTGGCCACAGCTACCCAGAGTGGCAGCTGAGCCAGGCTGGCCTGCCCAGTGGCCAGGCTGCAGGGTGATGAGTTAGTTTCCCAAAAAGCCATGACCCCGAACACTCCTGTGTGGGCTGGTCAGCTCTCGCTTCAGACTTGCCCCAGAGCCTTCAGAACATCTCTTGGTTGGCAAGTTGTTGCTGAGTGAGCATGGGGAGGCCATGGCCCTTGTGGGCTGATACCAGGGCCAGCTCCCACGGGGTCCTGCCCACACCTTCGCTGGGTGCCTGGAGGGGTTGGCTAGCAGAAGTGCAGTGCCTCCTTCCCTGCCGCCAGCGGGCTCAGGGAGGCCTGTGTGGTCACGCATGTAGCCCTTCAAGGGAACCATCGTGCAAAGCAAACGGGCTGACTTCCCCAGAGGCCATCCACACGGAAAGGCTGTAGCAAGTGCCGCTTTCCTGTGCTTTCCTCTGACTCTCCTGTGCGGCCGTGGCAGTTTCGCAGCATGCCATCCGCCTGTGACTCGGCCAGGCGCTGTTCCTCGTGGCCTTCTCGGGGCACTCCAGGCCCGGCCTCATAGGGGCTGTGGTTCACCAAGGGGCGGGCCTGGGATCTCTTCTGAACATCACTGGGAGGGTTGGGCATGGGGGAGCATCACCCACCCCACCAGGCTGAGCACTTACAAGAGCTTCCTGTGGCCCCGGAACTCCTGCCTCTGCCTTAGCTTCCTGGGCTCAGACGCTTGCCCTCCCCTGCTGTCCTCCCCCAGCCGCCCTGCACGGCTGGTTCCGGCAGGCTGGCCTGGGGGCAGGTGCGCCAGGTGCCGTTCCTAGAGCAGGCTGCAGAAGCCCAGTGCCCTGGGGCCCCCGCTCTGGTTGTGGACGCACAGGGAGGAGCAGATGTGCAGGGGCCCCAGAGTTCTGGCCTTGGTATTAAGCCTTCCCTGATAAAGACACACGGAGAGACCCATTTCTGGGGGCAGCCCTCCCTGAGAAAAAGCTGGCCTGGGATTGCGTGGGGGCGGGGGTGTCTCAGGTTTTGAGGCCGGGCTGAGGCCTTTCACTCCCTTCCCCTCAGCTTTCCTCCACTTGTTCGGAATGCAAAACGGTCCCCGAGAGGCACCTTCAGGGCAGCACTTGCCTGGCTGTCCCTGTGGGAGGACAGGCCTCTGGTCCTGTGACCTGTCTATGGTCAAGATCCAGGCCCCCAGTGAGCCCCACCTGGCCTCCCTGCCCACACCTATGGTGGAGACTCCTCATGACTCAGGGACAAGGATGTTCTCCCCTCTTACTGATCACCTCGGGTTTTATTTCTTTAATTCTTTGGATAATTTTGATTTATCATTGTTTGATTTTAAAAAGCGGTCCTTTCCTGTTTATTTATTTTCCAGCCTTATTTTCTTTCAGGTCTTGCCCCTCTCCACCTTCTCCTGCTGTGTCGCTGTGTGACGTTACTCGCCCTTCCTCCGCCTGCTTCGCTCCCATCTCAGCTCCGTCTCCAGCCATAGATGGCGTGATGATGCCGCGGCCCTTTCACATGAAATCAACTTGCTTTGTTTTGTTTTAATTTGGTTTTTGATTCTTATTACTGTTGGCAGAAACAATGTTAATTCATGGGCCTTTTTCTCGCTAAATTTTGGACGCCCTGGGGTGGGGGCTGCATCATGATCTGCTAGGAATTCAATGAGGATGGGGCTGTCCCCTCCAAGGTGGTGGTTGCCTTCTGATCATGTCTGTGGCTCAGGAGAGGGTGCCCGCCGATAAGCTGTGTGATTGCTGAGCGTGTCTACATGACAGACCATGCAGGGACCTTCAGTGTTGAGGTGGAGGTGCAGAGGGCAGGGGAAAGCTCTTGTCCATGAGCTGCTGCCCACCCCTGCACAGATCCACCCTCTGCAGCGGGGGAGGGCGCTCAGAGAGAGGTGCCGGAGGTGAACTGGCCTACTGGGCTGTGTGCACAGCCGATACACAGAAATGGAGGCCCAGGCAAGGCTGGGACGGGCCAGCCGAGGGGGTGCTGACTGAAGGAGCCTCTCTGCAACTTGAGACCAAGCCCTGTGTGCCCCCAGCAGCCTCCTGTCCTCTCTTGCAGGAGGTCCCAGGTAATTGAGAAATTTGAGGCCTTGGATATTGAGAAGGCAGAGCACATGGAAACCAACTTGTCAGCTGGACCCTCACCATCAAGCGACACTCGCCAGGGCCGTAGTGAGAAGAGGGCATTCCCCAGGAAGCGGGTGAGCACTGAGACCCAGGCAGTGCCTTGGCGGGCTGCATGGGGCACGTTGCCCCCCTCCTCCTCTGTGGCCCCCAGCGCACGCCTGGGCACGCTTCCACTGGGCTTCCCGTCCTCCTTTCATAGTTGTTTGCTTGAGGGTCTCATCTCCTCCTCTAATTCGCGAACTTCTTAAAGAAAAGCCTATCTTCTGCATTTTCCTATCAGAACTTCCTTCATCTCTGCTAAAAGCTTTTCTAACAATCTTGAGATCCTGCTTGGCCCTAGAGCCCCTCTCTTCCTCTCTGAGGCGGCCCGGCCTCAAGGCTGCACGGCTTTCTTCCTCCTTTCAGGCGGCAGCCGCAGCCCTCGTTCTCTGCTCCCGGAGGTAGGCTCCGTGCCCAGTCCTCGACCCACCTCTTGGGGCCTTGCTGGGTCTCATCTTCCTCTTCCTCCCAGATTCTCTCTGGCTCCTGAGGTGCCCTGCTGCCCTGCGTGCAGCCACATGACTCAGGGCTCTTCCTTCTGTGATCCCAGGAAGCAAGAAGCCGGGGGCGGGGCGGGACCCGGAGAATGACGGTGACGAGGCTGCTCCCACATCCAGGGCCGCACAGAACCCGTGCTGGAAGCGAAGCAGAGGCACTGGGGGATCCAAGCGCAGGCTCCTGCCCTCTGTCCCAGCAGAAACAGCGGTCACTTAGGGGCAAGGTCCCCACAGTTCTGACCCTCCCACAGCTCTGGCTGCCGGACTCCTTGCTCCCTGCCCCGGTTGACGTGTGATACTGACTGGCGGCTACTCTCTGCCACAGGACCTCCCCAGTGAAGCCCCCACAGCTCCTCTCCCGGACGCCTCAGCCTCCCCCCTGTCTCCACACCGAAGAGCCAAGTCACTGGACAGGAGGTCCATGGAGTCCTCCCTGACGGTGAGCCCAGGCGCCCAAGCACCAAGGCCTGGCGATGCTGCTGCTGCTGCTTCTGTCACCTGAGGTCACTGTCTGCTTCTGTCCGTGCATCTGTGCTGGCTGTCCCCTCTATGCACAGGCCCTCGTGTCTGTGTGTGGGAAGCATCTGCTCTGTTACTTTCCCTTTCCTGGGCCCTCTGGTCCTGGTGGAGGCCACCTGGCCAAGGCAACAGACACCTGACTCCAGGGGTCAGGGCCAAAGCACAGAACCCCCGTTCTTATGTGGGGTGTTTGTCTCCGTAACAGTTTGGTGGCAGGAGCCCTCTCTTGCCGGTAGCACTGGTCCTGTTCATGGGGTTTCACCCTTAAGAGAGAAGAGGCCCTCACTCCAGGCCATTTGAGCTATAGCAGCCGGGGTGCAGGTGGGGAGCGGTCAGAGGGAGTCTAGGCGACATCGTCGCCCGTACCAGCAGCAACAGGCCAGAGGCCCAAGGGATGAAAGACAGCTGCTCCTTGCCTGGTGACCTGGGGCTCCTCTCTGCATCTGTCCTTAGCCTCCTGAGGAGCCCAGGGATGGTGCTGCCTCTTCCCCCACTGAGGTGTGGAGCCACCCACAAGATTGATGTGAGACTGTGGAGCAAGGACAGTAGGTTTCTTACCTGGAGGATTTTTCCTTGAGTTCTGACTTCTGCTCAAGGGTGTGGAGCGCAGACTCCCAGGACAGGTACTGCTGGTCATTCATTGGCCTGTCACCACACATCTGCTCTCTCTAACGCCCTCCCAGTCCTTGGACTACAGAGAGATGTCACCGCCTATTTCTGGCCAAGATGGCTGTAGAAAAGTGGAGAGCATGTCAGGTGACAGGAAGGATGAGCCATGTCTCTCTGAGGCACCAGCCTCACAGGCACCCAGTTGTAAAACACAAGCAGGGCCCAGGTGGACTGCAGGCGACCTCGTGGGTTTGTGAACAGCACAAGTACAGGACGGACCCGCAAGGATAGCACCCCATTCAGGCCCTGCAGGGGGGCCTGCACCCCCTGCTTTCTTCTCTGCTGTCCTGGTTTTGCTCCTTCGAGGAACTGGAGACTGAAATTCATCCTGGTACGGATAAGTGGCCCTAGGGTCTTGGCAGAGTTGCTGCTATGTCTCGCTGAAGACCAGACATGGTCTCTGCTCCTTCGTCTTCTGCTCTTTTCTCTCTCAGTCCTCTGTGGCTTCTGCAAGAACTTCTGAATTCTTTTAGCTGTCACTGCAGACCTTCCCCTTCACACACTGCACTCGGTGACTCTCCATCGGAGCTGTTCTTCTCTGCCTCCCAGGCAAACGGAGCAAGGGCCTTTCTCGGAGCCCCTGGCAGCCCTGCTGCTCACAGGGCGATGAGGCTGCGCCCTCTCCTTCGCGGTAGCCTGCCCGTCCCGGCACCTTCTTCCTCAGAGGTGCGCGTGCCTGCGGGTGGGGCAGCGGGCAGCGTGCACTGGGGCCGGGGCCTGTGCAGGCTGGTCTGCTGGGGGAAGAAGCCCTTTGTCCGGGGCCACCTCATCTGGACAGAAGGTCTGTGCTGTCAGTCACCCTTTGCCCGGGCCTGGGGTTTCAGTGTTTCCCTCTGAGCTGTTCTTTTTTTCTTTTCTCAGCCTGACCTGCTGAATTTCAAGAAAGGCTGGCTGACCAAGCAGTACGAGGACGGCCAGGTCAGTATGCAGAGCTTCTGTGGTCTCTGAGGGGCTGGGCAGCAGTTGCGAGGCTGAGCCGGCCTTGTCCCTGGCTGGTCTGTGAGCACAAGCTCTGTCCTGCCACCTCTGGCACACCCCTTGGTCTCATGGACAAGGACTGTGGCCAGGACCCCCACCTCCTCAGATAAGTGGAGGTTCACGGCCCCCGTTTCTGCAGTGGGGGTGGGGCTTTTGGACAGGCACAGCCAGGCCTGTTGGCTGCCACTGTGATGGATTGCTCTCTGGCACCCAGCACTGACCTTGGCCTCAGGCCCTGGGGACCTTCTCCAACACTAGCTCCCACCTGCTGGTCGTTCCCAGGGACAGAAGAAGCCTCTGGTTGTAGGGCTGGCTTGTGTTTGCACACAGGCAGCCAAGTAGACAGCAGCTGAGGCAGCAAGACTCTGCCAGAGACAGCAGCTCGCCCACGGTCCTGAGAGAGCCACCATGGTGCGTTCTTGCCGTCAGACTCAAAACAGGAAGAGCCCTTTACAGCTAGACCTGCCCTCCCCACCTTGACCCTGCTGGGGGCTAGAATGCCAGACCTACCAGGAGGCATGAGGAGAAGGCTGCTAGGTCGTACCAAGAGGCCTCTGAGCCCTGCCCACGCCTGCTTCCTGGGCCTCCATGCCAAAAAGATGCCAAAATGTCCTCTTCTCTCCTCCTCATTCATCTTTGGGCCCTGCCTGAAGACTCAAGTCTCCCTCCTTGCTATTCACAGTGAAGACTTGGCAATCTGGCTGATTGGTTTGCACCTGCTAGCTGCAGGTGGGCGCATCCCTCTGGTTAATCAGCCAGTGGTTATGACTCACAAGTGGCCTCCTTAGGATGAAGATGCTGTTTTCACAGACACCTTTCAGCCCAGCCCCCTGTCGGCAGCCTCTGGAGTTGACACTGAGGACTGCAAAGCACTGTGTACCCGCCACACCACTGTGGGTTACAGAGAGCCCAGAGCCTACGGCCCACCCCAGCTCTGCCACCTGCCTTGTCATTGGCGAGCTGAGGCTTAGCAAGTGCCCTGAGGTCACATGTACATGGCTGCCTGCGGCCTAGATAGAGTCCCCGGCCACTTGCAGGAGGGGCTGCCTGCCCTCTGCGTTCCGGGTGCTCTGGGAGACGTCCTAGGACTCTGGCATGGATCACCTGGGAGCAGTAAGTGTGCCGCACAATAGTTGAGTCTGTCTTTTCCTTTCCATTTCAGTGGAAGAAACACTGGTTTGTCCTTGCTGATCAAAGCCTCAGATACTATAGGGATTCGGTGGCCGAGGAGGTGAGTGTCTTGGCTTTGTTTCCAATGGGGAGGCAGCCGAAGGGGTTCAGGTAGCCTCTGGGAGCTCAAGGCCCCCAAGCACCACTGGTTCTCCCGGGCTTTAGCGCATTCATCTGTTGATGGCTGTCTGCATTGCCACCTGGAGCTCCCCGGTCCAGGTCTGGTGGGAGGTCTGAGCGCGGTGCGACCAGCGTTTGACATTTGCATGCCTGATTCCTGCCGAGAACATTGGCATTTTCTGAGGCCCTGCTTCGGGCACCTAGGTTTAGAGTGTTTGGTGACTTTTTTCTCTGTTCTTTGAAAAACACTGAAAGATGTCTTATTTTAAAGCTCTGTATGAGCTGTTTTGTTTTTCCTACAAAGAGAGTTTGTGGTGAATTGAGTGTTTGGAAGAACTGAACTAAAATCTTGTTTATCCCTTGTCTTCTGGACAAGGATAGAATGTAGCAGATGAACCTAGTTGGCCCAGTTGACAGTCTTGATTCTGCAGATGAAGGACCAACCAGAAGGAGCTGTTTTTCCTCACGTACAAAAAAGTCATTTTTTGGAGCATTTTTGCAAGTCTGTTTCTAACCTTTCCCTTGTAGTTCCACCCCAAGAATCCTTCAGATATATCCACGTGTAGAAAAAGATCTATGTCCAAGGTTAGTCATTCTGTACTTTTGTAATAGCAGGAGATTGAAAAGAATCTAAACACCTATTTTTAGGGGAGTGGTTGTATCTGTTTACATACTCTGAACCTAAAAGAACTAAGTTTTTAATGGAGCGCAGTGAAGAGATACTGGCGGTACAAGGTAGGGGTAGACGGGGGAGGGTGGCGGGCTCCTGGTGCGCCTGTTATCAGGGAACACAGGGGCAAGCGTACACGTCTAACCGAACACTTATGTGTGACTGCCACTTGTACAAACCAGCAGTCCTCAGAGTGTGGGCGGCAGACCCCTGGAGACACTTCAGGAGGGCTGGGATACTCAAAACTACTGTTATGAAACTAAGATGCTGCTTTCTTTTTTCATCATTTTCACATTTGCACTAACAGCACAAGCAGTGGTGGGTTAAGACCCTTGGTGCCTTTGCCCAGTCACAGGCTGCAGCAGCCGGTGGCCAGGGGTCCTGTGTTCTTCACCACCACATACTCATCATGTTCATTAAGAAAGTTACTGATTTTATTAAGTCTCAATCCTTGAAGACCCACCCTTTTAATGCTCTTGTGATTTGAAATGGACAGTACGCGCACACCACTGTTGGTGCACGCCACGTGCGAGGGCTCCGGAGGGGCAGCCCTGTGCCCGGCGGCACCGCCCGCTGGCCGGCCATGCCTCCTGCGGAGCAGCCTCCTTACTTGAAAGAAGAGCTAGCGCGCAAACTGCTCATTCAGTTTGGGTGGTTAGCAGACATCTTTAAAATGAACCAAGTGAGCCAGTTTCTTTTAGGAAAACAATGGACCAGATTTGTTGCCAGTGCTACAAAATGAACTTTGAAGCAAAAATTAGAACTTTGGAAAACTTGTATTCACCCTCTTGAATTTGACAGCTTCCCTTTACTTCAGTCTCTCCTGACCAAATAGGTGGTGATATATGAGATACAAATTCAGTGTTTGATCTCATGTAATGAGATGTGTCAACATTAGGACGTGTGTAACTCATTATCTTCCAAATGACCAGTACATAGTGTTACACAATTGTGCATGGGTAAAAGATCCCTTCAAAGGGCAGGGTAACACTGTGGATTTTAACGGAACTGAATACAGAAAGTTCCTTATTGGATTTCAGATTCCACATTGTAGTTAACTTTTAAGTCACAGGGGTGTCCAACATGTGGCTCAGGATGGCTATGAATGCAGCCCAACACAACATGGTAAATTTATTTAAAACGTTAAGGAGATTTTTTTTTACGATTACGTGTCGCAGTGTATTTAATGTGTGGCCCAAAGCAACTCCTCTTCTTCCATTCTGGCCCAGAGACATCAAAAGGTTGGATGTGCCTGCGTAAGTTTAAGATAGCTACCACATATCAAAAAATAATCACAATTAGCTGAAGATTGTTAAAATTTGTCCTTTTTCAAATCCATTTTTGTGTAAGCCCAGACTTTCCATATACTTCAGCCAAAACAATGCATCCATCAGAATGAACACAGAAACAGGTATGAGAAGCCAGACATGAAAGAGATTTGTCAAAATTCAAAACAATATTACTGTTATCGCTGGTTTTTTAAGTAATATTTTTATTTAAAACTGAAATGGCTGATTTGTATTCTTAAGTGAACAGGTATGTTCAAATTTTTTTCAGTTTAATTTCTAATATAGTAAATATCAATAGATAAAGCTCACATAAAAACTCTTTGGGGTCCTCAGTTTTTAAGAGCATAAAGAAATTCTGACGTGAGCACGTTGGGTAACCATCAGCGTGGAGTTTCTTTCACAGGACACCCATAGAGAACGGTGGCCCCAAGGTGTCCAGGCAGTGCCGCGCCCTCACCACCTGTGAGGGCATATGTTCACCAAGAAAAAGGCCAGCCCTCAAAGTCACTTGTGAAAATGTGTTTGTTTAGTGTTGACTTTTATTTCTAAATCTCTTAATGTCTTCTCGTTTCTCTCTGCAGGCAGCTGACTTGGATGGGGAAATTGACTTGTCTACATGTTATGATGTCACAGAGTATCCAGTCCAGAGAAATTACGGCTTTCAGATACATGTGAGCCCAGGGTGGCACTTTGAGACAGGTTGGGTGCAGAGGTGGGGGGCACAGGCTCGCCTGGCCGGGATATGTCTTGGGGCACCTGAGGTCCTAGTCCAGGCACTGCTGGGCAGGCCTGACCTCATGTGCTTGGTCAGGAGGTGCTCTTTCCCATCAGTGTCGACATGTTGTCCTGTCCTTCGGCCTGTGGTACCTGGTCCCCATCCCCAGTTTGAGATCTGAGCAAAATTGGACATTAGCATCTTTCAGGACTATTTAGAAGCTTTTTGTGACTGAAGGTTCTTTTCTCTTTTTTTTTAATCTTGGAGTTTGGGACAATTGGAAGGATATGTGAGGTGTGGGAACTAAGAATGAAAGTGTCAGTTATTTACATCTCCCAGCACTGGGTTTTTATTCACTTACTCTTTAGTTTATTCTTCTAGTCAGGAGTTTCAAAATTTATAAAGTCTTCCCCCACCCCGCCACCCCCTACAACCTTGTGAGAGGCTCAGACAGGCAAGTCACTGCCCTTGCCCTCAAAAACATAATCTGGTTAGATGAATATGACAGTTCTCGTTGGCCATTTCATTGAAGTTGGTGACTCAAGGGCTACCCGGAGTTAGCCAGGCTCAAGGTTAGGACAGTCCCTCGCCTGCCACGCCTGCTCTCACACTAATACCAGCTGCCAGTTGGGGGCGCCCCGAACCACCCTCAGGTTCTAGAACGAGCCAGGACGACTCAGAACACAGCCGCGGGTTCCTTCTGGAGAAGGGCTCCAGCCGACGCCACCAAAGGGAGAGAGGCCTGCAGAGTCGTCTGGGCTTCTGTGTCCCCAGGGGTGCTGGGCCCTCGGTGTTACCATGCAGTGACACACAGAGCTTCCCGCCTGGGAAGCTCACCCGAGCCCAGTGTCCTGAGTTTTCCTTGAGGTTTCACAACTGTCATGATGGATAGTCATGTCCATGGAGCCAAGGGCAGGCCCCAGCCCTCCCCTCTGAGGTGGCTCGCTTTTGCGGGGCAAAGCCCCCACCCTCTCACTTCATGGCTGGTCTTCGTAGTGTGGCCAGCCCGACCCTAAGTAACTAGGGTTCAGAGGTGACTTCAGGAGCCGGGGCAAAGACCAGACCTCTCTTTGTGCAAAGCTAATTCTTTCCTCACAAGAGCCTTGTGAGTACGCGGTGGGTTGAGAGCAGCCTGGCAGACAGCTGCCACTGCCGGGGCTGGCCCCTGGGGCCTTGTCTCCCACAGGAGGCTGTAGCTCCAATGGGGTCACCTTTAATAGGGCTTTACCTTCAGATCTTGGGGTGCAAAAGCTCAGTTATACACTGGACTCAGAAGATCAGGTACTTTGAGGCTGACTCTATTAACCAAATTTGAAGGAGTCTGAAGGTTCACACCCAAAGGCCTTTGTGTTCAGTACAAAGAGAAATCCAGCCGCCAGCCCACCAGGCCACTGGTCATGGCATGTCCTCCCTGTGGGATGCCAAGTCAGAGTTGAAGGTTGCACAGATGGCCTGGCGTGAGGGCTGGGGCATGAGTTAGTGGATCTTAGGGTCTTAGCTCACGGCTGTGATGCTTCTCTGCCCCTGGTCCCTGCAAGAGGAGCATCTGTGCTCTGAGCTAGGCCTGAGCCTCCCGGTCAACCCCATACTGCGTGTCCATCACCCTGACCTCCCTATCTCAAAGAGCAGGCTTCTCTGGGCAGGGTATCCGGGGGTAAGAGGTGGCTTGTTAAGTCAGCAAGTGAGCACTGAGTAGTAACTTAGTTATTCTAGGGTCTGAACCATGTGCTTTACTCTCACCCATCAATCTGACCCTTTTCACTTTGCCCTGGGGTGGGAGCTTATCCCAAGTTCTGGTGCTTGTCCATGAGCCCCATGGACTGAGGGAGACTTAGGTCCAGAAAGATTGCTCTCAGCATGAGAGGGTGGATCCTGGAGGGGTCTCGGCCTGGGTCACTGGGAGCTTTGGGATCTTGAGAGGCAAGGATGGAGGAATGAATGTGCGGTGTCCCAAGCCTGGCCACCAAACCTAGTGGCACCTACAAGGGATCTGAGTGCAGGAGCTAGGCAAGAGCAGCACTGTGGGAGCCGAGTCCCCAGTCAGAAGTCAGTCTTATCCTAAGATTGTGGAATGTGCTGGAATGTGCTGGAGGACATGAGGTAGTTGTGCATTCGTAAGACACCCGACAGGCCATGCAGGCAGTTGAAGGAGGTGAAGAGAGGCAGGCCAGGCAGGCACAGCGATGGTGGGCAGAAAAGGAGGGGGTGGGTGCAGAGCGCTGCAGAGGAAGTAAATGAGCATGGGCGCGGGCGCGGGCCAGGTGAGGGCGGAGGCAGGGCCGAGGTCCTGTGCACCAGCCCATGGCAAAAGGAGCGGGGCCTCTGGAATCCTGGCCGCCGTGGGCTCTCTGCGAACATCGGGCAGCCACAAGTGTGGGCCTGCTGTTGGGAAGGAGCATGCTGGAGGTGGGAGAAGAGGCCATGGCGGAGAATGTGGAGATTGCTGAGCTCGGACCGCAGGAAAAGCCATCTCTGGGGCTGAGAGGAGGCAGAGGACCCCACGGCGAGTGTGAGCAGGTCTCGGGGGCACAGGGAGGGCCGAGGCACAAGGGCCCAGTGTTCCAGGGAGCTCAGAAGCCGTGCCCCCGCTCTCGGAGCGCAGCAGGGGAAGACCCGAGGAGATAGGAGTCATGAGCTGCGGGCTGCCTCTGGCTGGGGTGTGCAGGGGGGCCCGAGGTGAAGGGGTCAACTCCAAGTTGTGCTTTCGGCACCCCAGGTCCCTATGTGGTCTCCTATGTTTTGCTCCGTGGCTGTGTCTGTATCCAACCCAAAATCATCTTGGTGATTTCACCTTCCTATCAGCTGATTTGCTAACATGTTTCTGAGTAGCCTGAGCAGCTTAAAGAATAGGACTGACACTCTCATTCTGGGAGACAGGAGCCTAGGTGCAGAAGCAGGCAAGTGGACTCCATGCAGACCCATGTTTCCCCTTCCTCCCCTTCTCGGGAGCGCAGGGCCGGGCCCCTGGGAGAGGCAAGGACTGGGCCCCAGCGGCCACTCCTTCCTCCACACCCTCACAGGCTGTGCTGCCTCCTCCCCATGGCTGCATCTCGCCTCTCTGCCTGCCTGGCTGTGCACGACCCTTCGCTGCAAACCTGTTTCTCTGTCTTGACTGATGTCCCGCTAACTCATCCGAGTCAGGGGGCAGAGGGGTTGTCCTAGAAATGCTCCCCTCCCTCTTCTCTCTCACCCCTGCCACCACCTTAATTCTGACTTCCTGGACAGCTGCCCTAACTGCCCAGCAGGCCTCCTTCCTTGCCTCTTAGCCTGAGAGACACGGCCTCCACCACACCCTGGGCAGCCCGGCCCCTCCCTGATCGCCCTGTGTGCCCGGTGAGCGCGGCTGCAGGGCGCTGGGCCGGACTCTTCCTGCTTCGGGAACCTCATCCTCACCCACCCGCCAGCCCTCCTCACCCTACAAGGCCCAGCTCAGCTCCACTGTGCTGGGCTCCCATGAGCTCCGCACATGCTCGCGCTCTCCTTCCTTCCAGCCTGTGAGTTTCTTAAAAGGCAGGGTAAGTCGCCTCAGTGCCTGGACGTTGCAGATATTCAGTAAATGCCTGCCAAATCCAGCAGAGAGGGAGATGCCTGAATTAGCCTTTACAGGGAAAGCAGATTAGCGTCCACAGCTTTGCTGTTGTTTATCACAAGCGGGGCGCACATGGTGCACCTAAGATGGCCACCTGGCCACAGTCCTCCCTGCAGGACTTCTTTTGGGGGTGGAGAGGTTGACAGTGGTCACTGATGATGCCTTGTCTCTTGTGTAGACAAAGGAGGGCGAATTCACCCTCTCTGCTATGACGTCGGGAATCCGGCGGAATTGGATCCAGACCATCATGAAGCACGTCCATCCGACCTCTGCCCCAGATGTGACAAGGTAAAGTTCGAGGGAACCACCTTCCCCAGGGGCCTCTGCCTCACTCCCCTATATGGACGGCTGCTGCTTCTGGGGCCCGAGCTCTCCACCGGGCCCAGCACTGCCTTCTTCCTTCCCTCCTTGGTCCCGCCGCTGGCTGTCCCCACTCATGCTCTTTTTGGCTTCCTGGTCTTCTGCGTCAGGTTGTCTTCTCCTCCTCCGAGCCTGGTTGGAATAGCCTCACAGGTAGCACTTGGGCCACAGTCAGAGCTGAACTCAGGATAGGCCCCTATGGTGTGGGCGTGGGCACGGGGCTTCACTGGAGGCTGCGTCCATAGCCACCATAGCATTTCTTTGTCTTGCTTTTTCCTTCACCTTGCCCCTGCATCTGTTGGCTTTCTGTTGTGCAACCAGGGAAAATCCTCTGAAACGCTCAGTGGCAGAGCCTCAGTTGGAAAACTGTTCTCCCCCATAACACTCTTCGGTTCACACATCTCGTGATTCCCTGCGTGCCCTCCTCCTCCAACACCAAAGGATAGAAACCTGTTGGGTTTCATTTTAAAAGAAAGAGGACACGGTCCCAGTGTCTGGGGCTGGCTCTGTGATGCCCCAGACACCACCGCACATGCCTCAAGGCTGCAGAGCCTTCGCCCAGTCTGAGACCTCACACTGACAATTTGCAGGCACAGAGTCTGAGTGATTCCTCAGGTGTATTTCTTGCACCGGAGGTCACACTCCGCATGACCCTGGTGCCTGCTGTGTGCCCCCTGGTGGCCTGGGCGGCTCTGCAGCTGTCCTAAACCTTTCTGAAGTCCTTGCCTTCTCCTAGTGACACTGCACCTCTTTGAACAAGAAGAAAGGGAGGGAACCCAAAATAACTTCTTTTTTCATTCTTTTCTGTGTTTATTTGCATTGTTGGTTCACTTATTTATTCAATAAACAGAATAGCGGGTTGTTCCTGAGTTGGTAAGACCAGGAGAGGGTGACCAGGACCCCCTCCGCGGTGTCCTGTTGCGGGGGCACATTCTCCATGCAGGGATGCAGGGGCAGCCCAGCAGCTGCCCCTCTGCTCTCTCCTGTTCAGGAGCAGGGGCTGGAGCCCCCCAAGCCCATGCTCCCTGTGAACCCTGGAGGGCGCCCCCACAACCAAGGCTGCTGCGTGGCCTCCGGGAGGCGAGGTGGACACCCAAAAGCCAGGCCGCCTCGGGTCAGGGTCTCTTCCAGCCAGTGGCAGTCACCTGCCACCCTGTCCTAGCCAGGCCTGGCCCTGTGCATCAGATTGAGGATCTCTCGGGGGGCTGTCAGCTTTGGGATGTCTCAGGGCAGGCATGTGGCTTTGGCCTGAGAACAGGAATAAAGGGCACTCTCAAGCCACACTTGTATGCACACATGGCTCACAAGTGGCATCTCCCAGGCTGGCACACAAGCCTCCCTGGCACGCCAGGGTATCGGCTCCATGCGGGGACTCTGAGCACTCAGGAGCCAGGTGTTTGGTTCCATGGGAAGCTCGACGTGGCGATTGTCTTTCTCACTAGGATTTACTTCAGAATTAGTGGAGTACTCTGTTTCCCCAATTTGTTTTCAGCCTTTGTATTTATTTGAGGTGGGCTTTTATAGTTTGAGGAAAACAGGTTCTTTGTTTGTATGTATGTATGTTTGTTTTAGTGCTACAAGGCTACCTCCCAAGAACAGGTAGAAACAGATACAAATGTCAGAGGTACCAGGTGAAGCCAGACACTATAAGCCCGTTGTGTCTGGTGGGGAGTCGTAGCGCCCTCCTGTCTCGGGTGCAGCAGGCCCCAGGCGGGCCTTCCTCTGCTGGAGAGACTGTGGGTCTGCTGCTTCCAGTCTCCCATGGTATCCTACTGCCTGATGTGGCTGTAAGCCTGCTCTAGCTCTCAGCTCAGTGCTGTCAGAAGGTCTCTTCTGGAGAGTTTTTATTCAAGTACTCTTCTGGTCTTAAGCTGAAAACACAGGTCAGCCACTCTGGCGCAGTTTATTTGTCACTAGTTAGCTGCGGGAACTGGCAGCCCAGCCGGTGACAGCAACTCTTTTCACTTTCCCTTGGGTTCCTCTTTCACATGCTCCTTTCTCTTTGGTCCCAATTAAAACACAGGTGCTCCCTGGAGGCCCCAACTTCCCTTGCAGCCCCAAACGGCTCCTTATTCTGCTTTTCGGCCCTGCCGATGTTCAGGCTGCGGGTCTCGGGGGCCTATCCGCAGAGCCTAGAGAACCCTGCCTCCAACCACCATGACGATGCCTCCGCCCTACCCCTGCCTAGGTGGGCAGGTCCCTCTTCAGAAGGGCAGAAGTGCCGTTGAGGGTCCTGCTCCCCACCTGCCAAGCGGGCCACTGCATGGGAGGGGCTCATTGGTGCCAGCTGAGCGATGTATCTAATTAGTTCACAGGTCATCTCAAGCCTGTCACTCTTACTCATCTATCACAGCAGCACCAGCACGATTTTCCTAAAACAGACCAGACCATGTTACCTCCCCGCTTTTTAAAAACTCTTGGTTCTTTCAAGGGACATGGCTGGTCTCGTTCGTTCTGTCACCACTGCCCAGAAAGTACATGCATGCCACAGGGTCAGCCTCCCTGATGAAGGGTTTGGGCAGTGGCTGTGCCTTGTGCAGCCTGTCAGGACCTTGGCTCTAAGCAGGGTAGGGGCTCCCTGTGCTCCACTGTCCCAGTGATGGGGCTGTCGTGACACCTCCCCTAGAGCATCTCCTCCGCTAGGGGACCCTCCAAATGGCCTCCTGCTGGAAACCTCTCAGCCTTCCGTGGCTCTTTCTCTCCCATCTCCACTCAGAACTCAGGTTAGGTTCCCTCCGAGGAGGTGAGGACAGTGTCCTTTCCTCCCCTGCCCCAAGGGAGCTGGGGCCCTCTGCCGGGGGGAGCACCAGCAGCTATGCCTGATAGGCTGTTTGCCCCCTGCCCCTAGCTCACTGCCAGAGGAGAAAAACCGGAACAGCTCCTCCTTCGAGAGCTGCCTGAGGCCCAGTGAGAAGCAAGAGCTGGAGCCCAGAGAGCCAGACGCTGAGCAGAAGAGGAGCCGTGCTCGGGAGCGGAGGCGGGAGGGCCGCTCCAAGACCTTTGATTGGGCTGAGTTCCGCCCCCTGCAGCAGGCCCTGGCTCAGGAGAAGGCCCGCGCCACAGCGCCCCCTGACGCTCTTCCTGAGGCAGAGACAGGAGAGCTGGAGCGGGAGCGTGCTCGCAGGCGGGAAGAACGCCGCAAGCGCTTCGGGATGCTCGACACTGTGGATGGGCCAGGCACTGACGATGCGGCCTTGCGGATGGAGGTTGATCGGAGCCCGGGGCTGCCTATGCCCCCCGACCCCAAGACACAGAACGTCCACGTAGAGATCGAGCAGCGGTGGCATCAGGTGGAGACCACCCCTCTACGGGAAGAAAAGCAGGTGCCCATTGCCCCTCTGCACCTGTCCTCTGAGGACAGAAGTGACAGGCTCTCCACTCATGAGCTGACTTCTCTGCTGGAGAAGGAGGTAATGACTAGAGGCAGCCATGGGTGGACAGGTGGGTGGGTTCCATGCAGCAGCCTTTCCTGAGCAGCCACGGTGCCTGGCAGGAAGCCTGAGTGTTTGAGCTGCATAACTCTGAGGGAGACTGCTCCCTCCCTTCAGGGGCTGGCAGACCGTTCAGGAAGATAAACACGTGGGCGGACAGGTTCTTAGAGTACAGTGTAGTTGCTGAAAGGTACAGGAAGTGCCAGTTCATGCCGGGTGGCAAGGAGGGGGAGACAGACTTTTCCAGAAAGACAGTAGTTTGCTGTGTGGCAGGGGTGCTGCCATTAGAGTCAGGGGCGGCCAGAGAAGAGGCCAGTAGGGTTGCAGGGCCCAGGTGGAGGCCTCGTCTGCCCCACGTGGCAGAGAAAGGTGAGTGAGGTTTTGATCTGAGCGAGGCCGAAGCAGGCCAAAGCTGGGGGTGGAGAAGAGCCCCAGTGCTTCCTCAGCAGCCTGCTGGCCTCGACGTGGCCTCCGGGGGCACAGGGCAGGCAGCAGGAAGCGAGTGGATTCTAGATATTGCAGATACGGAACAGGCCCTCGGTGGGTGAGCAGGTAAAGGGCACCCTGTAGCTCACCTCCTTCGTCACGGGCTGCGCTGCGGAGGCTGTTTGCAGAGCAGGCCTCTTGGGGCATCCGGATGCAGAGATGAGTGGCCAGCCCCTGCGTTTGTAGCACAATATGTTCCTTCATGAAACATAGGCAGGAATCAAGTCTGGGGAGGAACTTCAGTGGATTTATTAAGTCTGAGCAGGGAGTTCCTGGCCAAGGAGGTACAGCATAACAGTTTCAAGTTTCAAATGTGTTCTTTTACATAAGTAGCTAATTAAAGATTTGTCACTTTAGTCTGCCTTCACTTCTCTTCTTTTTCTTAGTTTATTAAATTTATGATGCTGACATTTATCACTCGCATAAACTCTTTGATTTTATTTCCATTTTTTATGCCCATTAATAAGATAATAAGGACAGTATGCAGTAAATAACAGTTCAAACTCACACCGCTCTAAGCTGCCAAAATGGGCCTGCTGGCCAGCAGACCACACGCTGAACCATAAATGTATTTAAAGCAGCAATGTCTGAAAATCCGAGGTCTCTGTACCTCTCACAGCACGTCCGGCAGCACCCCATCTGCCCACTGTACCCACCTCCCCACGTCCTGTAGCTTCCAGGGCAGGGCAGGCACGTGGCCGATGTGGCCCAGTAGGCACCTAGGGAAGGAACATTTGAGAACAAGGCGAGTGGATGAACGACTGAATCTACAACCATTGAAAGCAAGAAGAGTGTGAAGCAGCTTGCTTGCTTTTTACATCTTGTGGAACCCTTCAGGAATCCTCTTTGCAGACTGACTTTTAAGCGGCACCCATTGTATAAAAGTGGGATTGTCGCAGTGGGGATAAGGTGGAGCCTGGCGTGAGGCTTGCTCAGGGCAGCACTGGACTCTGAGCGCGTGCTGAGGAAGCTGAGAGGACCCGGTGGCGTGATCTTCTTTCTGGTGCAGGCACAGAGCCTCAGTTCCTGGTGGGGTCTGCGTAGTGGAACCTTAAGCGGGTGTGGAAATTGTGTGGGCGTTCAGGGCCACAGGTCTGCCACGTCATAGGCATGTATATACTTAATGGCCGGGGCCTCCTGTTCCAGAGGCTGTACTTCAGGGCAAATCAGCTCACCCCCAACCTGTGGAAGGCCAGGGAGGACTGCGCTCAGCCCAGCTCATGTCGGCAATGCTGCTCTGGGCCTGCACTGTTTGTTACTACATGGTGCTTAAAAATGCATGTCTTTCTGCCAACAGTTGGAGCAGAGCCAGAAGGAGGCCTCAGACCTTTTGGAGCAAAACCGGCTCCTGCAGGATCAGCTGAGAGTGGCTCTGGGCCGGGAGCAGAGTGCCCGGGAGGGCTATGTGCTGCAGGTAGGGCTGAGGGGCTGCCTCAGTGCTCGAGATGCACCATGGGCCTCTGTGCAGAGGGCCCGGCAGGCTGGGAACGGGCAGAACCTGCCTGAGCAGGGGCTGCCTCTCCCCGGGGCTGTCCTCTGGCTCCTTGGCCCCAGGACTGTGGCTCTCAGAGCCTGAAATTTCTGTCTACGGGTTTTTCCTTTGCTTTTTCATAAAATAATTTTGGCGGTTTTTTCTTTTGCCTCTCAAAATAACCCAATATATATTATTATAAATCACATACATTTGCAAGCCATTTCTAAGTTGTTTAAAAAAACACACACACACACAATAGTAGGCCTATTTTACAGATTGAAGAAATTGAGTAACAGCCAGCCAAGTGCCTCCTTAGGCAGAGGTAGCAGTGGGTCCTCCCTCCCTGCCTGTGTCTGCACCATGCCCACGGGTAGACCTGGGCTATTACCACTAGCCCAGGGGCCCCACCTCCTACCAAGACTGAAGTTTCAGGGAGAAGGGAGAAAATGTGGCCATGCAGCCCTGAGCCAGCCTAGAAGGGGAGATGAGGAGAGCCACAGCCTGGGTCCTGAGCTGAGAGCCCAAACCGAGCATCCACGGCAGAGGTCTCTGGGCCGCAGTCCTGCTCAGCAAGCAGATTCACAGAGAGCGCTGGACACGGCGGAAGATGCCTCATCAGGCAGTAGGTCAGCTGGACAGGTTGGGCCAGTGTGCGCTGACTGTCCTGCGGCACGCCAAGCCCTATTCTAGTTCCGAGGTAGAAAATAACACACTCCTGCCCCATGGAGTGACATGCTGGTAGGGAGAGACAGCTGACCAATGAGTGCTGAGGAGAAGCCAAATGGGGTGATGGAACGGGGCTCTCTGCCAAAGCTGGTGACTCAGCTCTCAAGTCAGGGTTCTGGGTTTAAGTGCAGGCCCTGCCACTGACCAGCACAAGCCAGTGTCCCCTCCCCCACAGCATTAGCTTTTCCTTGCCTGTGTAGACTTACATCTTGTCCCAAGGGCCCTTCCAGCTCTCAGCGACTCCGAGTCTCTGGGAATAGTTGCTGTGCGAACATTTCCAGGCCGCCATGCCTTGGCTGCCTCTGTCCGAGCCGTCCAGGGCGCCTCGTGGACCCCCATGGCAGATTCTGCCCTCCTGCCTCTGTCCATGCCACTTTTGTTGCATGTTCCCTCTGCTTTCTCTTTCTTCCATTTCTCTTTTTCCCCCAACTCGGACTGCGGCCCTGGGCGCCCATGTGCCCTGTGCCCTCCTCCAAAGCCCTCCAGCTGTAGTTACTGCCGTGCCCAGGTCAGTTGTCGCCGTGCTCCACGAGCCGGTGACGGTGGGCCTCCCTCTTTCATACACAGCTCGCTCTGGGCTTTGGGTCATTTGTGCGGAACCTCCAGATTTGAGGAGCATCTTTGTAAACCTTGGTTGGGCCCCCATCCTACACAAATCACTTCACAGCAGGTGGTAAAGATACTAGCAGCAGATTTTGCACATCCTAACCTAAGAACCTACCTCTGTATCTAACTTGGATGATTGCATGATCCTGCACCCAAGCCCCTGTCAGTCAGAACTGGCTTTTAAACACCTTCCTGCTATGTCTAATAGGTTGCTTTTATCTCTCTTCGCTCTTTGGGAATGCTTATAATCAGAAGTCAGAATGAGCAAGGACCTTCGGGATTAAGAGTCAGAAGGAGTGTGCCCATCATGGGCACTGTGCTAACTGCTGGGAGGAGGAGCTTGCATGGTTTGGACTTGCAGTGGAGTGTAACTTAATAACGTAACTGAGTGTCACATCTGTGGCTTCCCCAGCAGATTGAGGCAGGCCAAATTCTTAGGCTGGGCTGTTCTCACTTTTGTTCATGTTCTTGTTTTTTTTCCTACGTTATTAGTTCTGTCTAGTCTGCATGCCTTTCCTTTCGGGGAGTTTTGTTTCATATTTTTTTGTTTGTTTGTTTGTTTGTTTTTTGCATGCTTTACTCTCTTATTTTGAATTCCATGAAGGTTTCTTTGTTTTGTTGGTAATCATTTTATTCCATGGTTTTTGTTTTCCCCTCGTTTTGTCTTCTTACAGGTAGAGATTAGTTCTTCCTGTTACTGTAGAGGACGAGCTCCACTTCCAAAAGGAAAATGTTCGGATGTCACCTTGCTGACATTCCTGAGTAGTTGCCTCCCTTCCTTCTCTCCCTGTCCTAGAAGGAAGTGACATCATCACTCGCTCCCTGCCTGCTGTGCTTTTTTTAGGATTGATTGTCTAGAGCTGTATGTTTTGTTTTGCAAAACAAACAGATGCCCCTGCTCTACTCCCCCTTCTTTCCTTCCCATCTCGTCTTCTAGTCTTTGTTTTTGCTTACCCGTGTGTGCCATTATTCCGTTTTGTTTGGTTACTTCTCCTAGAAGCTATTCGATTAGAGTTGTTTTGATGTTATTATTCATGTTTCCTGTTTACCTGGAAGCAGCACTTATCAAAATAATTAAGATGATTTGTTGGATTTTTTTTTAATGAAAAAAAAAAATTGTGCCCAGGATAATTATCGGCAAACCCACCAAGAAGCTTTTCTGTGGTTGACCCTGGCCAGAGGTGTGACACTCAGAACTGGGAAGCCCGAGTGTTACTAACCAGTGTTTAATCGGTTTTTTTAAGACTGAAGTGGCCACCTCCCCACCTGGTGCCTGGCAGAGGCTCCACAGAGTCAATCAAGATCTACAAAGGGAGCTGGAGGTCCAGTGCCGGCGCCAGGGGCTAACCATGCAGCAGACCCAGGCCCCGAAGCGCAGCTATGGGGAGGCCAAGGACACAGTCCGGCACCACGAGGCTGAGATCCACAGCCTCCAGGCGAGGCTCAGCAGTGCTGCCGCCGAGCTCACCATCAAGGAACAGGCACTGGCCAAGCTCAAGGATGACCTGAAACTGGAGAAGGAGAAGGTCCGTGAGCATTTGGAGGAGTGGCAGCACAACAAGGCTGCACTGAGCGGTCAGCTCCAGGCCAGCGAGCAGAAGCTCAAGAGCGCGGAGGCCCTGCTGCTGGAGAAGACGCAGGCGCTGCGGGACCTGGAGACACAGCAGGCGCTGCAGAGGGACCGGCAGAAGGAGGTGCAAAGGCTGCAGGAGCGTATCGCGGATCTCAGCCAGCAGCTCAGCGCCAGTGAGCAGGCCCAGCGGCTGATGGAGGAGAAGCTGCAGAGGAACTATGAGCTGCTGCTGGAGAGCTGTGAGAAGGAAAAGCAGGTGCTGCTGCAGAATCTCAGGCAGGTGGAGGACAAGGCCAGCGCGTATGAGGACCAGCTCCAGGACCACGAACGACAGATGGAGCTCCTCCAGAAGGAGAAGCTGAGTGCCAGGTTTGAGGGCAGCGAGGCTGTGCACCAGCTGGAGGAGCAGCTGCAGATGAAGGAGGCCAGCATCCACAAGCTGGCCGAGCATGTCCAAAGCCTCAGAGACGAGCGGGACCTGATCAAGCAGCGGTTCCAGGAGCTGATGGAGCGAGTTGCCCTGTCTGATGGAGACGTTGCTGAGCTTCAGGAGAAGCTGAGGGGAAGAGAGGCAGACTACCAGAGCCTGGAGCACTCCTACAGGAGGGTAGCCAGCCAGCTCCAGGGCATGCACACTCTGCTGAAAGAGAAGGAGGAAGAGCTGAAGCACATCAAGGAAATGCACGAGAAAGTTCTGGAAAAGAAAGATCAGGACCTCAACGAGGCTTTGGTTAAAATGGTTGCCTTGGGGAGCAGCTTAGAGGAAACAGAAATGAAGCTCCAGACAAAGGAAGAGATTTTAAGGACGTTTACAAAGGCGTCATTGGAGGAAGCTGAGGAGCCGCAGAGCTCCCTGGAAGAAGCAGAGGAGGATAGCATTGCACTTTCAGGCCTGCAGCTCCAAGCCTCAGACACATCTCCAGGCTTCCCACACTTGAGGCTTGGGGAGGATGACCCAGGGGCTTCCCCTAGGGAGAAACATGGGCATAGCAGCCCTAGGAGAGAGGTGAGCATAATACCCCCGAAGTCAGAAGTGCCTGACAAGGAGGGGCACTCGAAGAACACAGCAAAATGTGAGCAGGGAGTACCCAGCGTGAAAAGGCAAAGAATCCGGTTCTCCACAATCCAGTGCCAGAAGTACACCCAGCCTGATGGGTCCGAGAAGACCTGGGCCAGTAGCACGTCTTCCGACACAAGTCAGGACCGGTCACCCTCAGAGGAAAGCATGTCGTCAGAGGCCACCCTCAGTTCGCTCCCTGCAGCCAGTGACTCTGATACCTACCTCTCCATCATACACTCCCTGGAGACCAAGCTCTACATCACAGAAGAGAAGCTCAAAGATGTGACGGTGAAGCTGGAGAGCCAGCAGGGCCAGAGCCAGGAGGCCCTGCTCACGCTGCACCACCAGTGGGCCGGCACCGAGGCACGGCTCCGAGAGCAGCTCCGCGCCAGCCTGCTCCAGGTTGGCGTGCTGGCCTCCCAGCTGGAGCAGGAGAAACAGGCTAGGGCAAAGATAGTTGAAAATCATGTCGGGGAGCTTGGCAATTTCCAGGTAAAAAACACTCAGGCCTTGGCTTGCTTAGAAAATTGCCGAGAACAGCTACGATCTCTGCCGGGGTCTGGCCAGGAGGAAGCACAGGAGGCAGGAGTGGGCCCCCTGGCCACCGTGGAGCGAGTGCTGGTCACTGCCATTCAGGCCCTGCGTCACTGGCCAGCCCCTGCAGACAGCGGGCCCCATGCTCAGCCAGAGGAAGGGAGCTTCTTAGAGAAAGGGAAAGAGACTTCGCAGCAGCCACTTCACCTGCCTGAGCTAACTGAGCAGGAGCAGCTGAAGCTCCTTTCTGATCAAATAGCTCTGGAAGCGTCACTGATAAACCAAATAGCAGACTCTTTAAAAAATACAACATCAGATATCTCACGCGTCCTCCATGAGATTTCTCAGTCAGGAAAATTGCCCCTGGAGTCTGGAAGTGCTGCGGTCTGCCTTGGGGCCACAGCAGACACCTGGGCTAAGAAGGTCCTGGTGGATGGTGAATTCTGGAGCCACGTTGAATCCCTGAGTAAGCACCTGGGGATGCGGGGAGGAGAGGCAGCCAGTGCATCAGGAGGTGGGCAGCAGAGCATCCCACAAGCCCTGGTCCCTGCCCTGGCAGACGCTACGTGGGTCAGGGCAGAGCTCAGCTTTGCTGTGCAGTCGCTGAGGGAGTCATTCCACCGTCGGTTGCGGAGCATCCAGGAGACTCTCCAGGGGACCCAGACGGCTCTGCAGCAGCACAAGCACATGCTGGGGGAAATCCTGGGAGCCTACCAAACCCCTGACTTTGAGAGAGTGATGCAGCAGGTCTCAGAAGCCCTCACACTTCCAGCAGGCATTGCAGATGGTGAACAGGCGTCCTGGGACTTGGGCCCATTACAGGAAGAACTGAGTCGTCAGGATGTAGCCAGCTCCCAGGAGCCCTTTCATTTGTCCGATCAGAGCTCTGGGGCCCTCGTTGCTATTCAGGAAGAACTCGCCCTACAGCTTAAAGATAAGGCCAGCCTCTTAAGAGAGATATCTGCCTCTTTAATTTCTCTCCCTTCTGTGGAATCAGTAAGAGATTGTCAGCAGCTTCTTCAGGTGTCCCAGAATCTTTCCTATAACACTTATTTGGGAGGCCTCGGTCAGTATTCTTCATTACTAGTTAAAGATGCAATTATTCAGGCGCAGGTGTGTTATGCAGCCTGCAAAATCCGGCTGGAGTATGAAAAGGAGCTCCAGTGCTACAAGCAGTCCTGGCAGAGCAGGGGGGCCTCCTGTCAGGAGCACGAGCAAGCTGTTGGGGCCCTGAGGGAGGAGTATAAGGAACTTCTCCAGAAGCAGAAGAGCGAGTACCTGGAAGTGATTGCCATCGTTCAAAGGGAAAATGCAGAGCTCAAGGCCCAGGTCACCCAACTAGACCATCAGCAGAGGTATCTGGAAGAAGTGGAAAGCAAGCACAGTGAGAACATGTCTGCCCTGCAAGGGAGGTACGAGGAGGAGATCAGGTGTGTGGTGGAGCAGTTGAACAGAACAGAGAATACACTGCAGGCTGAGCACAGCAGAGTCCTCAGCCAGCTGGATGCCTCTGTCAGAGACAGGCAGGACATGGAGAGGCACCACGTAGAGCAGATGCAGACCCTGGAGGACAAGTTCCAGCTGAAGGTCAAAGAGCTACAGACCATCCACGAGGAAGAGCTGAGGACCTTGCAGGAGCACTACTCCCAGAACCTCCAGTGCCTGCAGGAGACCCTCTGCCACTACCAGGGGCGGCCCCCGGAAGCCCTCCTGGCTGGCAGCGTCCACCAGCCCCCTGCCTCCACGTGGCCAGCTGACCAGCCCAGGGAGCCCCTGCAGGTGGCCACCGGGGAGGCTGACTCCATGACAGGGCTGAGAGAGCGCATCCAGGAGCTGGAGGCTCAGATGGACATCATGCGGGAGGAGCTGGAGCACAAGGACCTGGAGGGCAACACAGCCACACTGCGGGAGAAGTACCAGAAAGACTTTGAGAACCTTAAGGTTTTGAAGCATCATTTAATTTGTAAAGCAGTCAAGAGGCAGGCATTTTCCTGCTTGTTGGGGGGTGGTGTCTGATGCATTGGACTCACAAGGTGGAGATGAGAGCCAGTTCTTGGCCCTGAGTTACTGTATATGCAGAATGTAGTCAACATTCTGTGTATTTGACTCCTTGCTCCCCCATGGTGTGGCCTTGGAGCAGAGTCTAGCATCCTATTCGGCCTCCCCTACCAGGAAAGAGAACTAGCAGAACAGGGTCACTGGTGAATGAGGGAATATGGTCTCCCCATCGCCTTTCCACCTGCTTATAGAAGCTGCTCTGCATTCTCCCAGCAGGGGAAGTCCCTGCTCTCTCCCTCCCAGCCCTGCACAGCCTCACCCTCTTACCCCCCGCCAACCCCCAGGCTTTTGCAAACCCACAGCTTAAGAAGAGCCCAGGATAGACAGGCCAGAGGCACCTGTGAAGGGCTGTCTCTTAACTGTCCTAAGAGAGCAGAGTTTGCTCTTCCCAAAAGGTAGGAATATTTGCAATACAGTGTCGAGAGTCACTCTTGCATCCCAAATCTCTGGGGAACTGGCGTTTAATGGGTGTTCTATTAGGGCAATGTGAGAGCAACTTTCAGCTGCTGGTATTCCTTCTCAGGAGCTTTGAGAAATGGTCTTCTCTTGTCACTGTCCCCTGCACCCCTACCCTGTTTCACATTCTGCCTCATTAAGCAGAATAGCCAGGTCCTCACACTCAAAGGTGACATTTGCAGGCTCTGTGAAGTGGCTCATCTTCTCACCCTCCCCCTTCATGAACAAGAAACACTTATGTATGTGCACGTGGCTGCCCAGCATGGCCCCTAAGTTCCTCAACATCATCCTCTTGAGCTTCTCACCATCTCTTGGAGCTACACCAGTAATTGCCAACGTCCCTTACAGCCCCTCAGTGCCCAGTCGGGCCCCCAGTGAGATGACCCCCACCTTGTGCAGCACAGAGCTGGCTTCCCGCTGCAGGTGGCTGCTTTGCTGCTACTGCCAAACACTGTGCTAATGCAGCTGTTCAGCAGGATGTGCATAGTTTTGTTTCCCAGCAGCTCACTCCTAGCTCTGAAAGAAAACTAGAAATGTGTTCTGTGTTGGCAGCATATTCTTTACCTGGCAACATAGGCCACTGACCTAAGACAAGCACAGGTGGTTGCCAGCAAGCACCCAGGTGGGCAAGAGGCTGTCTTTACTGCTCTTGTGCTCAGTTAGTCCAACCCTTTTGAAAACCATTATGAATCTTGAGAAAGCTTCAAGGGCTGTTTCCCAAAAGTGCTCAAATGATGCCCCTGTGACAGTCGGGGCGTATGAGCGCAGCATTCAGGTGGGCCTGTAAAGTGATTTACGCAAACTCTGTCCTACTGCCTTCCACACCCACAGGGCCCCAGCAGATCTGCATGGGCAAATGCCTAGGCACACACACATCTCAAGTCCACGAGGGCCTGAGCGCTGGCTCCCCACCGACAGGGACTGCTTGCTCTCTGCTCCACCAGAGCCTCCTGCACAGTTAGTCAGCTGGGCATACTTAAGGCTTCAGCCAAAGTGGTTACCGCACACCCCAGTAAGCAAGATGTTAGAGAAAGCTGGCCAGAGATGGTGCCAGGACCCAGTGTCCCTTGGTGGTGGTGTAGGTCCATGGGGTTCTCACTGACATCCTTGAGCACATAGAAATTAGAACCAAATGGCACTCTTCAGGGGGCCTGGGGAATGCTGTTACTTTGTGCAGCTTTTTGTCTGGATTGGGGAGCCTGGGATCTGGGCCTGGTGGCCACTCTGCCACAGCTACAGGCTGAGGCCTTCCCTTGTGATTCTGCACAGTAGTCATTGAGGAACTTTTATTAATCCTAGGGATTACTGCCTTAAAAATCAAAATTCGTTTACAGAGAAATTATTTTTTAACACATATGCTCTCCAAGGAAGCCACCAGTCATTAAAGCTACTGCCAAGTTTCTGTAGGAAGAATTTTGATCCTTACTTAAATTTCCTAAAGCACTCAACTCAAACTAATAATTATGAGACCTACTATCTGTGTGTTAACCAAGAAGTCATATGTAAACCAAACCACACGGGAGACAAGATGGTGGGCGCAGAGCGGGTGAGGGGCCGGGAGGCAGCACTGGGATTCCTCCAGCTGTGCTGTGGTGTGAGGGTGGAGAAAGGAGACCACCGGCTTCCAGGCGGAGCCTCTGGAAGAAGTAACGTCCAGTTAATGGTGTACAACAGTTAAGACCGCATGGCCGGCACAGCAAATCTGTTGCAGTGAAGTCCAGACTACGGGCATGAGTTTGAAAATACTGACTTGAGGATCTCAGAAAGACCTCACAGTTACTGTAGGGGCCCAGAGACACCCAAGCATGGTCATTTGATTTCTTGGTGTATTTCTTTTCAATCCACATGGAAGAAGATTGACCAAATACTACATGGTTGGGAGGGGGAGCCCCCACTATGCTTGCATTTGGAATGTAACATGGCCACATTCTTCCACTTTTGAGAAAGATCACTGAAAGACCTGATCCCTATCCAGAAAGAGATCTTGCAAGGAATTTAGACACAAAGTATGACTCCCTGCACGAAAGAGCGATATCTGCCACCTCCTTGCCATCTGTCGGGGACACCCCCCGCCCTGTTGATAGGAGCAACTCTGGTAGGCCACCCCTGGGCTTCCCAGTGTAGCTGTGTGGGGTGGTTTGATCCCTTCTTAGGCCGGACCTGTGTCCTTCCCCTGCAGGTCCAGGTAATAAACCAACACAGGTTGTAATAAGGCATAGGTTAGTTTGGAGAGCAGTTTATCTTTTATGTGTCCCAGTAGTTAGTGCAGTCACTAACTTGTGCCCCCTCTCTGTACTTCAAAAGAAAAAGGAGAAGGAAGACACAGGCTGGAAGGGAAGAGATCTTACAGCCTATTGTCATTCCCTCTTGGACACCAGAGAGGTTGAATGACCAGGTGAGGGTGGCCAGCTAGACAGTGGCAGGGTCAGGCCCTGTGGAGCCCTCCAGCTGACGGGGAGTCGTGACTGGCTGAGGGGTGAAATGCACTGGTGCAGCGAGCCGTTCCCTGCCTAAACGCGGACGAGACACGGCCAGCCTCTGCCCGTGCACTCTCCCCCCTCGCCAGTCCTCTCTGGCAGTAACTATCCACGTCCAGGACGGGCTAGTTTAGATCACATTGCAGCCTCTTGCCACTCACAATACCACCTCTTCCCATAGGATTCATATCATAGAAATAAGACAACTTATGGATGTCAGCACCATTTGTAAGTGTTCTCGGAGCATAAAATTCTCAGTAGCGTCAGTGAAAGTCTCCACTGGCTCAGTGCCCACCTTGAGAGAGCGTGTTCTCTGGAGCAGGCAGGGCTGCTGGGTTATTAGGATGCCCGATTCAAAGGTAAAGAAACGGTGATAAAGCCCCCTTTGCATTTTGCAGGCCACATGTGAACGAGGGTTTGCAGCCATGGAGGAGACGCACCAGAAGAAGATTGAAGACCTCCAGAGGCAGCACCAGCGGGAACTGGAGAAACTGCGGGAGGAGAAAGACCGCCTCCTGGCTGAGGAGACTGCGGCCACCATCTCAGGTAGGAGCTGGACACGGTGGCCGGTTTAACCCAGAGGGCAGGACAGGTGGAAGACTTTTCCAGAGCTTACTGTACAGTTCAGAGCAACGATTGGTCTTTATGCTGTCTTTTGTTTGAAATTTAAGCCTCATTATCCAAGAAAGTTTTTAAATTTCATTTTTCTATGACAGTTTACATTCAGTATTCTTTGGTATTAGTTTCAGGTATACAGAATAGTGGTTAGACAATCACATACTTTATAAATTGTTCCCCAATATTTCCAGTACCTCTGCCTGGCATTGTACACAGTAATTGCATTATTATTGACTATATGTCCTACGCAGTACTTTACATCCCTGTTACTGGTTTGTAACTACCAATTTGTACCTCTTAATCCCTTCATGTTTTTTACCCAGTCCCTGAACGCCCTTCCCATCTGGCAACCATCAGTCTATTCTCTGTATATATGAATCTGTTTCAATTTTGTTTGTTTATTTTGCTCTTTAGATTCCACATGAAAGTGAAATCATGTGGTATTTGTCTTTCTCTGACTTACTTCAGTTAGCATAATTTCCTCTAGGTCAGAAATCGGTACAGTTTCATTCTTTATTATGACTGACTAATGTTCTGTTGTACAGCTTTTTTCTCCACTCATCTATTGATGGGCACTTGGGTTGCTTCTATATCTTGGCAACTGTAAATACTGCTACACTGAGCGTAGCAGTGCCTATATTCTTACGAATTAGTGTTTTGGGCATCTTCAGATGAATACCCCTAAGTGGGATCACTGAGTTATAAAGAAGTTCCATTTTTAATTTTTTGAGGACCCTCCACACTGCCTTCCACAGCGGCGGCACCAGCCTCCATCCCCACCAGCGGTGCGCAAGGGTTGCCTTTTCTCCACAGCCTCGCCAGCACTTGTTTTTGGTTTGTGGATGATAGCCATTCTGACAGGTTGAAATGATATCTCATCGTAGTTCTAGTTTTCAACTCTCTTACGATTAGTGACATTGAGCATGTTTTCATATGCTTATTGAGAGATGTATCTTTTCAGGTCCTCTGCCCATTTTTTAAATGGATTTTTTCTTTGGGGTATTGAGTTGTCTGATTTCTTTATAAATTATGGATATTAACCCCTTATCAGATATATCATTGGCAAATATCTTCTCCCGTTCACTAAGTTGTCTTTTTTTTTTAAGTATTTTTAAATTTTTAATTATAGTTGATGTGCAATATTACATGTTTCAGGTATATAACCCTGTGATTATAACTTAAAAGTAATCACCCTGATAAATCTAATATCCATCTGGCACCATATAAACTTATTGTGATATGACTGACTATATTCCCTGTGCTCTACTTTACATCCCTCTGACTGTTCTGTAACTACTAATTTGTACTCCTTACTCCCTTCACTTTTTTCACCCGGCCCTAAACCCTCTCCCATCTGGCAACCATAAAATATTCTGTGTATCTGTGAGTCTGTTTCTGTTCTGCTTGTTCATTTTTGGGGGAGGGGGGGATTTGAAATATAAGTGAAATCCTATGGCATTTGTCTTTTTCTGCCCGCCTGACTTCATTTGGCACAGTATCCTCCACGCCCACCCATGCTATTTCAGATGGTAAGATTTCATTATACTTATGGATGAGTCATATTTCATTGTATATATGCACCACTTGTTTATTTGTTCAACTATTGACATACATTTAGGTTGCTTCCATATCTTGGTAACTGTAAATAATGCTGCAGTGAACATATGGATACATGTCTTTTTGATTTAGTGTTTTGGGTTTCTTTACATAAATGCCTAGAAGTAGAATTTCTGGGTCCTTTGTTGTCTCTTGTTATATCCTTTGTTTTAATATCTATTTTGTCTGGTATAAGTATTGCTACTATAGCTTTTTTTTTATCATTTCTGTTTCAATGAAACATCTTTTCTATCCCCTTATTTTCAGTTGTGTGTGTCTTTTGATCATTAAGTGAGTCTTTTGTAGACAGTGGGGTCTTGTTTTGTTAATCCATTCAGCCATCGTGTGTCTTTTGATTGGAACATTGAATCAGTTTGCATTTGAAGTAATTGTTGACAGATAGGTATTTATTGTTATTTTATTATTCGTATTATTGATCTTTCATTCTTCTTCTTAAACAAGACCCTTTGACATTCTTGTAATACTGTTTTGGTGGTGAGGAAGTTTTTTAGCTTTTTTTGTCTGGGAAACTCTTTAATCAGTTCTTTGATAGTTTTCCTGGGTAGAGTCGTCTTGGCTGTATGTCCTTGCTTTTCATCCCTTTGAATATTTCATGCCAATCCCTTCAAGCCTGCAAAGTTTCTATTGAGAGGTCAGCTGACAGTCTTTTGGGAGCTTCCTTGTAGGTAACTAACTGCATTTCTCTTGCTGCTTTTAAAATTCTCTCTTTGTCTTTAACCATTGGCATATTAATTATGATATGTCTTGGTATGGGCCTTTTGGGGTTCACCTTGTTTAGAAATCTGTGCTTCCTGGACTTGTATCTCTAGTTCCTTCACCAGGTTAGGGAAGTTTTCTGTTGTTTTTTTTCAAATAGATTTTCAATTCCTTGCTTGCTCTTCCCCTCCTTTCAGTATCCCCATGATACAAATGTTGGTACACTTGAAGTTGTTCAAAGGCTCCTTATAGTATCCACATATTTGGATTCTTTTCCTTTCTGCTATTCTGATTGGGTGTTTTCTGCCTCCTTGTCTTCCAAATCACTAATTTGATTCTGTACTTCATCTACTCTACCTACTGTTGATGCCCTGTAACATATTCTTCATTTAAGTTATTGTATGAACCACTTCTAACTGGTTCTTTTTTATGTTTTCTATCTCCATTTTTGTTTCCTGTGTCTTTGTTGAAGTTCTCACCTACTGTTCCCCTAGGGTCATCGAACATCTGTATAACATTTTGAACTCTGCATCTAGTAGATGGCTTGTCTCCATTTCGTTTAGTTCTTTTTCTGAAGTTTTGTTCTGTTCTTTCATTTTGGGACATGTTTCTTTGCTCCTCATTTTGGCAGCCTCCCTGTGTTTGTTTCTAGATACTAGGTAGAGCTGCTATATCTCCTAATCTTGGCAGAGTGGCCTAATGTAGTAGGTGTCTTGAAGGACTGTGTGGACCTTCTCTATTGTAATTGAGCCTTGATTGATGCTGGCACATCAGTGGTAGGGATGTACCGCCAGGCCAATGGGCTATAGGACTGACTACAACCACCAGGGAGGATCTGCTCTGCAGAGTTTGACTCTCTGGGAGCAAAACTAATTTCACTGGGGCTCAGGTGCCTACCAAGTTCACCCCTTGAGTGTGTCACTTGTGCAGGTCGTTGGTCTGAAGCTGTCTGCCAAGTGTGCTGGCTCTGGAGCTTCCTGGGGGGTGCTGACAAAGGTCAGCTGCCATCTGTGCCCCTCTCGGGGCCACCGGGCATGAACTACAGAGCAGTTTGCAGATGGCTGCTACTTGTTCTGAGCATGAAGGTGCCAGGGAGAGGCCAGGTTGCAAACCAAGGCTTGTTGCCATTAATGCTGGGTCTAGGGCCACTTAGCAAGAGGTATGGTATATACAGAGGCCAGATGCTGCTGCTTAGAGAGATTTCAGGAAATTCCACATTATGAGCCAAGACAAGTTGCTTATATGGAAAACCCACTGGAAATGGCTTTGGTGAGCCCGCATGTTGGGTGCTGCAGCGTCTCAGAACCCCATGGAAAGGGGGGTGTTAGCCATGTTGACAGAGACTCAGACATGGCACATGCCTGGCATCTCTGTTGGGGGAACCATTCATCAGAGGAACAATGGCATCTGCAAGCATTTCTGTCTGGGAGAAAGCTGTCCTCCAGCTCTCGTCCTGATGTCAGACACTTCAGCTCCTCCCTTTTATGTCTCTAGTGCCTTACAAGCTGCGGCCCCAGTGCTGGAGCTCAGAGAGAATAAATCCAAGTAAGTCTGTGAGGGCCATTAGAGAGGAACTGCCTGGGATTCCAGAAGCCCTTTGGTCTCCCTCAGCCATAATCTCTGCTGGTTTTCATAGCCACAGGTTTTAGGGACTTCTCTTCCTGGCACTGGAACCCTGGGCTGGGGGCCTGGTGTGGGACAGGGACCCCTTGCTCCTCAGGGGAAACCTCCACAGCTGAGATATCCCTCCTGATTTTTAACCACTGCACATGGGTATGGGACCAGTCAGTTCCCTATCTTACGTTCCTTCTACCAGTCTCAGTGTGGCTTCTGTAAGTATACCCCTAGTTCAGGACTTTGTTCAGCTAGACTCCAGACTGTTCTGAATGATGGTGGTTCTGTAGTTTAGTTGTTTTGACACGATGGTGGGAGGTTCCAAATACTGTATTTACCAAGATCATCTTATGGCCACAAGCCAGCAGTAGCCTTTTTGTTTTGTTGTTTTTCTTTGCTGTGCAACAACTTTTTAGTTTGATGTAGTTCCATTTGTTTATTTTTCCTTTTGTTTCCCTTGCCTGAGGAGATATATGAGAAAAAATATTGCTAAGAGCTAGGCCAATGTTTTCGTCTAGGATTTTTATAGTTTCAAGTGTTATATTTGAGTCTTTAATCTATTTTGATATTATTATTGTATAGGTTGTAAGAAGGTGGTCTAGTTTTATTTTTATTGCGTGTTATCTGTCCAATTTTCCCCATACCTTTTATTAAATATATTGTCTTTACCCCATTAAATTTTCTCACCTCGTTCGTCAAATATTAATTGACCTTACAGGCGTGTGTTTACTTCTGGGAATCTGTTCTGTTCCATTGAAATGCATGTCCATTTTTTGTCTTCCTCACCTGAGGATGTGCTCATTGATTTGAGAGAGAAACATCAGTCGGTTTCCTCTCGTGCCTGCCCTGATGGGGGACCAAACCCGCCATCTAGGCTTGTGCGCTGCCTGGGGGGATAGCCCTTCGGGGCATGGGGCAGTGCTCCGGCAGACTGCTCCGCGCTGGCCAGGTCTGTGTCCCTGTGGATGCCAGTGCTGTGCGGCTGTGGTCGCTGTGGCCTT